AAATCAGAAAAGCGAGGATCGCGCCGGGTTTAATTCCAGCGATGCCCCGAAGACAGGGGCGATACGGTGCGAAACTAACGGCAGGATCGACGGGAAGGATGCTTGGAATGTCGGGAGGATCGGTCTCGCACTGAAATCCGAACTGTTAGAACGCGCTTTGATAACGCGTCAGTAAATCGGGAGGCGTAAGAAGCGAAGTGAGGATTTTCTGTTTTAGATGACGCAGCAGTGTGTGTTTTTTTTACGCTGGTCTTTCGCTCGAATCGATACCAATCTTGAGCCACATTTTTTAGTAAAGATTTTCATGAATCGCCCATCTTTCTTGATAATCTTTGGATTTTGATATTACACCCTCAGAAAGGAAATTTCTGTTACCGAGACATAAATATTCTTGACGCATTTATATTTCTCACAATCTCATTTAGTAAAAAAATAAGATAACATCATGATAAAATCAATATTTCTCCTCTATCGAATTAAAAAAGATTGACTTACTATATGGAGACAAGGGTAACTTTACATATTCTTGCGTTTAGAATAAATTTTCCCTCTATTTTGCAACGCACGAAGTTGACACCACGATATTCGACAAAAGACGATGCTATCATTTTATTCTGGATTTTAGAGTTTTTCATTTAAGATTAAAATATTCCTTTCTCTATGATAAATACGATTGGCGCTATATCGATCCTACATCGATCCTAATTTATGATACATTCAAGTGTAATAGATTGGATTCAGAAATTTTTTCTGTAAGTGTATTGTCGCATGATTTTCCTTAAGATCCTCTTTGTCTCCGACTTGTGGCGTTGATTTCCCGACATTCTTGTTAATAAAAGTATAGATTCTAAGTTGCTTGAAGAATCAGTAGGCAAATTTAATGCTAATTAACATACTAATTAACAGCATTGTAATTAACAATCTAACGATACTATTTGCGCTCCGAGGGAGATTACAACGCGAACGCGTTACAGCGACTATTAGCGATAACTTCTGCCATGATGAAGCACAAACAGCGAAACTTGTGAGCGAAATGAAGAAATAACAGCACTACGAAAGTTATATAAGGTCTGCATAATAACGCGGTGCTATTATCGCGGGAAAATGGAACATTCTCGTGCGTTACAATATTCCCGTAATTTATATTCAAAGAAATGTATTACGTAATAAACGTCGAAGACACGTGTCGACGCCGAATTTCCGTCGCGAGTATTGCTTATCGGTGGCGGCGATTATTGAAAAGAAAATTGAAAACAAAAGAACGCGGCCTGCTCCGGTACACTTTACGTTACATTATTTACGTATATTACTTTGCGACCGCGCCGATCGGGCGGGGTTACTCAAACTTTCCCTCGGAATATCATTTACCCGCGCGTGCAATCTTGGAGCACGTTTCACGCGCCTCCGCGCGCGAGCATAATCAGGCTCGATAGCAGAAATCGATAGTGGCTGCGAGCGGCCATCAAGTCGACCGCGAAGGGGGTAAGCACGGCAGGTATATGCGGTTTGTTAAAAATCCCGCATCGACAGGCATCGGCTGCGAGGTGGATATCGGGCTCCGGCCGCGTTCGCCGCGCTGAATCGGTCGCTCGTCGAGAAACGAGTTCGCCGAGGAAAAGGAAGAGTCGAGGGGAAAAATAGGAAGCGACCGAAGCGCGCGTATACGCGCGATATCGACTCTCCGACTTTCGATCGGGTCGCGCGCGAAATCGCTTCCCGCAAAGTGGCACGTTGTCACCTGGTTTTACAGCTCTATGCTAAACACCGTATTCGGAGGTGGCGAGACCGTCAGCGGATCCGCCGGCGGATCCGCGCGCGCGCTGCTAAAGAGACAAAAGATACAATGGTATTCATGGTCGATTCTTATTTCAAAATCATCTTAAAGCCTCGTCTACATAGAAGTCGTAAAGTCGTAGTCGTAAGAATAGTCGACTATGATTGGTCAATTCTTATGTGTCTGACGAAATTGACCAATCATAGTCGACTATTCTTACGACTACGACTTCACGACTTCTATGTAGACGAGGCTTAAGTGTTGTCTTAAGACGCTAATAACGGCTCTGTGGTTGGTTGAAGACACATTAAGGGTATACGTAAGATAATTTTAAATATAAGAACGGACTATGAATACCGGCCTAAGACGTGAGATTTAAGAAATTGATAAATTATAGTCGAACGAACGATACTCGACTGTAAATGATCAATTTCCTAAATCTTACGTCTTGAAATTGTCATTGTAGGCACCGCGTTGTAGATCCCGAATCGAGCGAGGCGCGCGAGAGGAAATTTATGCGAAAGGAGATTTTCAGGGCGCCTTAAACCGACGCGGCAGAATTGACAGGTGGGCGTAACTGAAATCCGCGTTCTGCCGATAACAACCGCGAGTCCTTATCCGCTGATTGATCTCGGGAGCATCGAGAAGGAAGATGGTAATTCACGTCGTCGCGTCGTGGCGATGATCCATCACGGTGGTTAAACCTGGACGGATAGGATAGAGCGAGCAGGCGGATGTACGCGAAATTTTTCAACCGCTGGCGAGACTTTTATCTCTCTCAGTTAGGAAATTGAGCTAGGCCACTGTGTGTGTATCGGCCACGGACACGTCGCGACAATGATCGAATCGCGGGGACACACTGAGAGATCCATTTTGTTGAATGAAACAAAATTTCGTTGACTCAACTGAATTTCCCGTTTGGATATGAGCAAATAAATCTTTCAGTTAATACAACAAAAAAATCTATAATGGAAAATTTTGTTATATCGAGACACAAATTTGGTTGAGTAAACGTGCGTAGAATCTAATGTTCAACTAAACGATTTAGTTCACGCAACAAACACAGTTATTTAGGACGTGATGAGATGAATTTGTTATCTCAACCATAAAATTTTGTTCAACTAAACAACTCATGGAAACAAAGTATTTCGTTGTAACATTTAACTTCTTTTCAGCAACATATTTTTCGTTTTATACAACCAGGCTACATGTTCAGTCAACAAAATGGGTCTCTCAGTGCAGGCCGAAATCAAGGTCGCAAACGAGCGAGCGACTTTTTGTCGACAGCGCTCATTTGCAGGAGCGATAGAGGCCGGACGGTACGTGCGTCGCGAAGCTGCCAATTAAAATTTGTTATCTTGGAGTCCGCTTAATTCGCGAGCGTGAGATCTGCTTAATTCCGATTAGAAATATATCAAGCGGGCGATAGGGATGTGTTAAGCCGTCTCCGCGCGATAAAGACGATAATCAGCGGTGTTTGGATGCTGAGTCGCGCGGGCCTGATCGAGATAGAAATTAAACGAGCGGAATCAAGCTGGTGCCTCTTCATCTTCGCCCGAGCCGACTTTCCCCGATCGCCGCGAAAGGCCGCTCGATTTGCTCTTATCTCCGCCGTGCCCCACATACCGATAATGATTCCACGCAATCGGCAACCACTAATCTGTGTTTCGATCGCGCTCGTTTTTTTTTCTGCTTCGCAGCGTGCACCGCAGCGTGTTATTACCGGCGGTGGAAATCTCTCGCCGTGCGCATAAAGCAAGTGCACGAGATGTGCTCGGACTTTTCCTTCTTTTCTTCCTGCGTATCGCGGGCCTTAATTCGCCCGGCACTGTTGCCTTGAATGCAAAGTTGTTCCCGCGTTCAAATTGTCGCTGGTAATTGATGCGGGTTTCGCTAATGCAACATCGTCGGAGCGGAAGCGATACGTCAAGCGGATGAGAACTTTATTTTGAAACGCGAGCTCTTTCAATTATCTCGAGCAAGGAAAAATATTCTCTCTCTCTCTCTCCCCCCTCTTTCTCTAAATATTATTGAGAATTTATCGAGCTTGTAATTGGAAATTGGAAATCACGTGCGCATATTTAGTTAAAAAAAAAATACGGAGATGTAAAATCGATTACACTAAAGAATATTATTATTAAAATATGTTCTGCGTGTTTATTTACTTAATTGATTTTATTGACAAAAACCATCAAGAAATATATTTTCAATTCCGCTTTTATAATTTACATACCGCTGTATACTGAAACGCGCCGAATGAATTGCAAGAATAAAAACTGCGATATTTTCACGAAGCGAATAATATCGCGGATTTGCACGTGCTCGCAGGCGAGCTCGTGAGCGTGCGTATTCCTTCGTGGCCGTTTCGTGAACTCAATGAAAATAGCGAATTGCATAATAGACAAATTGACCGATTAAGGTCTATCAAGAGAGGAGCCAACAGCTTTCACTCGAAACTCGAGCGAGTCGTCATTGAATTAAGCACGTTTGGGAGCGATTAAACTTGGTTCAACTTTTTGCGTTATGCTCCGCAGCTTCGTTAACTTATTAAAGCTCGCGAAAGGAATTATAAGAGAATTTCTCACAAACTCCCATTAATCCCTAAACCATCGTGAAGCATCCGGCCAAGAAACTTTCGGTCCCACCTCGATTTAATACAAAGAACTGTATGGAAAATGGCGTCTCTTTAAAACCACACGTGCACTCCGATTTCATCACCAAGCCGTCGCAATTGTGTCGACCTCCTGCGAAGTATAAACTATTTCTCTCTCTCTCTCTCTCTTTTTAATACATTCACATAAAACAGAAAGGGATGATTGGTTCACTCGACGAACACGATCGTCCGCGGCGCGAGGGCCCGAGCGAGCCGCAGGACACACGAGGAGAGCGTAAATTCGTCGTGGAGAGAGTTCGCGCGTTCCTTCGGGCAGTGAATCTAACGATCGGCGATCGAGGGAGCCCGCGGTAGCGGAGGCGAGGCAGCTTGATATTCGTCGGATGCGCGTCGCGGAGCCCGGCCGCGTATGAGCGCGGAATAAATTATCCCGGTGCGTCGGTCTGATCCCCCCCTGCGATCTCTCTCTCTCTCCTCGCCTCTCTCCCTTTTCACCGCACGTCGCGTTCCCTCTCCCTCTCTCTCTCCTTCTCTCCCCGACCGTCTCTCATTCCGCCTACCCTGGCAATCGCTCCCCGGTTGCCGTTCGTTCATCTCTCCCTCTCTCTCCCCGTCTCGCTCACTCCCGCCGCCGAAGTGTGTCTATAATGACTCCTCGTGGTGGGACGATACCGGAAGTGAAGCCAGGACGGCGGAACCACGACGTTCACTCAATGGAAAGTTTGAGCTCCGCCGGCGCGGGCCTTCTCCAAGGTGGCTTGTCGTACACGCTCGCTCTCTCGTGCGCGCCGAAGGAAAATCCGCTTCTTTCGACCGGCGCGCGCTCGGCATTCGCGCGAACGCGAGTCACGCGCGAGCAGCTCCCGAGGAAAAGTCGCGTCGATATCCCGTCCTCGCGGAGGGCTCGCTGAAGGTGCCGGCCGTTTACGAGGCGAGCCAGTTGCGGACACTCGGGTGGTGAAAGCTCCTGGGATTTCGGGATGTTAATATTCGATTCGGCATCCGGCGCGGCAGGTAGATCGAGGGGAGAACAAAGGACCCGGTGAAAAAGTAATCCGAGGACCCGGAAGCAATAATGTGAACTGACTGAGTCGCAAGTAGATGAACGTCGGCTTTGGTGCGCCGTGTTGGCCGACGGAATTTCCTTGAGATCGGCGAACGGGAATAAAAGATTGGACGTCCGCGGATCTGATATTCGGAGGAATAAGCGAATGGCTGGGTTGAACGTAATCTCGCATTCCGACCGAGGAAGTTCCGATCGTGCGATGGGCAAATTCAAGAAGGTGGATGACAGATCGTTCAATCAGAAGGAAAATTTGCAAAACGGAATTAATGAAGACTGAGGAGATCTAGGAGAAACATCTATTTGAAGTTGCATTATCGTGGCAAACAAAGTGCATTTTATTGTGAAGCGCCGGAAGTCTCGGGGAGCAGCAAATAGCATCGTCGAGTAATCAAGGCAGCGGTTGAATAAATTGGATCGGGGATATTACAAGAACGGTCGAGAGAGGGGAGAAGCGGGAGAGGAAGGAAGGTAGAAAAAGGACGCGCAAGGAAAGTCGCCATTAAGCTGCGGCAAAGAAAAAGGGCTTTCTCCCCCTCCCCTCCCCCGCGGAAAAGAGAAGGGCCGTTAAATCTCGCGAGAGACATCGCGCGTTAACTTCCATCGCGCGCAAATTTGAGAGCGTCGAAATTATCAGGAGTTTCGTCAGGAAAATCGGGAGGGGGAAAAACCATCCCTCGCCGTTCGGCAATTTTTTTCCTTCCCGGGACGCCGAACGTTTCGGTTCGTCAGCGCGCGGAATGCATAAAGCCCGCTGAACGAGGAAAGTTATTCCGTGGTCTGGCTTGAAATGCGTTCTCTCTTCGCGCGCAACCGGCATGAAAAATAGGGGAGTTTTCGCTGCGCCGAACAATAAGCATTTTCGCGTGAAAGTGACAAGATGATGACGGCCTTTGAGAAAAAGGAAAAAAAGACCCATGTGATTTTCGCGGGTGGGACAAAAGGTGGTCTGTGAAACGGAAGTCCGTCGCGAGAAAGAATACTAATTAACCCAATTCCTGCCGAAGTTGCGTTAACGAACCGGCACACGTTTCAGCTCGTTGTGTTATCGCCCGCCCCTCCCCGACGTTTCCTTAATTAAAACGAAATCACTGTCCTCGCGCGTCAATTACAAAAATACCGCGTACGGCGCCGTAAGAATATAAATTAGCGTGTCCCAACGAGAGCGCAGCGGTGCCCCGTGCGAGGAAATTAGCGAAACTAATTTGAGATAAACTGCCGCGTCTTAATGAAGGAGAACTAATGAACTTTGTAATCTTATAAAGTGCTCGGCGTGTCCGACGCGGCAGCTGGCAGTCTGTCATCGTCGGGACACCTTCCCGGGTAAAACAAAGAATTTGCTGACGCGCGGCGAAAAGACTTTCAATTTGTACAAGAAGCCGCGTCTTGGGTGGCCCTTGTGCCCCAGTCGTCTTATTTCTCTCCGCGCGATCAGCACGTTACACTTTTTTACGATTTGCGGGCCAGTCTGGGTATAACGTTAAAACGTTGACTGATGATTATAATAATCGGCCGCGACCACGGGCGAGAGGATTTCATCTAAGGACGCCCATCATCCGAAACGACACGCGCGTCGGGTCGAACAGACGCGGGGCTTGTCATTGACGGTAATTCGCTCGGCGGGGTGACCGTCGGGGGTGAAAACGGGAGACTCGAAGCGCATTTGTGAAAGTATCCGTCAGAGATGGTCAGCCAACACGCGATGGCCACCACCGTCCGCAAAGTTAAGCAGGAGAATCGTCTCAGGCGGCAGAATCAGAGCCAAGGTACGCGCAAGCACGTTGGTTTTCCGCGCGCGTTGGTTTTCTCGCTAACAAACAACTCACGTACATCAAGAACGTAGATTCATAATGTAACTTGCGCGTCCTTATCTCCGAGGGGACTTTAATCGTGATCTAGTTACAGCGTGAAACGCGTATATTGCACCTCCTTCGGAATTAACGCGGAGTAGTTAGGACGTAGCGGAAATATAATATGACGTTAATAACGAGGCGCATGCACGTGTGCGGTGCAACGATCGTTCTGCTGTAATTGCATTGAAAATATTATGAGACTTTGGTGCGTAAAACGCCGAGGAAAATGAGATTGGGAGAGCGAGGAAGAAATATGTTTACGAGCGTAGACTTAAATGAGCGCGCAGCGATCATGCTTTAGCTAGTATCTTATCGCGAGTCATCGAATTATCATATTCGCGGATTTTACTCGCTTCGATATTTCATCGAGCGAACGACCGGTTTGCGTAAATGTTACCGAGTGAAATTCTCGTCATTTTTAAACGAACGCGCGAGTTGCGATTTCTTTTCACTTACGAATCCTCATCTGCAAGTGAAAAATGCTCTTAACGTAATTTCAAGTAGATCTATGTAAAATACACAGCAATTTCCTAGGTACGTCTTTCATTTGAATAAGTCGCTTAACACGTTCATGCCAGGACACTTTACGACGCGTCGCGGCGATGAATATATTTATTTCACATTTCTTGTATGTATATTACACGCACGCGCTCTCTTTGCCGAGTTTACCTCGCATCAAACCCGAAAATTATCAGTGCGCGTTAAAGAGTAACGTTGATTATTATCCTGTTTAAAGAATTTTAGTAAAATTTCAAAGACAACACTTTTAACCCTGCAAAGTATAATTATGCCGAGCCGCTTCTTTCGATGCGTCTTCGGCTCCATTTAAATTAGTAAGTTATCGTACATCGAAATGTTAAAAACGATTGCGTGTCTTTGTCTTCAGATGAAGAGGGGCCTTACAAGCCAGTGCCACCGCCGAAACCGGTGCCGAACAATCAGAAGACTCAGGACGTTCAGCAGAACGAACACCGGGAGCAGCCGGTAGCTGAGCGTCCGTCATTGCGCACGACTTCCGGTCCGGAAAGGACCGTCGCGGAGGACGGGCAGGTTCGTAGCGCAGCCGGGCAGCCCTTCGCACCGGAATACAGAATGCCACCCTTGTACGGGGAGGAGCAGAGTTCGGGTCAGGCTCAACAGGCGGCCAGTTTGCAAACTCATAGCAGCAAGTTCCCGGTAAGTGCGATAATGCACGTGAATGATAAAATTATAGGACCATTATTTTTGTCAAACGCTTCCCCGCCGTGATTCCCGCCGTGATTTCTTTGGGAAACTACGCGAGTACAAAGTGTGTCAAGTCTTTTTATTAAATAATTTATCTCCCTCCTTTCTCTTTTTTTCTATTTTTAATAATAATTAGAGTAGGATGCATTCACGCGACAATCTGTTATAAAATCATATTTTTACTACGTACATAAATTTTGCATTGCATTTTAATATTTTAGAAGACATGACACTCGAATGTACGAAAATAATGGAAGAAAATGGTCATTTTCCACATAAATATATGACAGACATAAAGATGAGTACAATTTGTTGAAATTATTAGTATTTTTAATTTTAATGTATGTATAACATTACTCAGAACCTGGATCAAATTACGACAGACATATATTATCTTGTTTCCGTTCGATAAAATAATTTCGCGATACGGAAATTAATAAGCTGCAAAGATCACGATATCGAGACATAAAACACCCTCAATAATGGTATTAAAAATCGATATTTCAATATTTTATAAGACATGACACTCGAATGTACGAAAATGATGAAAGAAAATAGTCATTTTCAACATAAATAAGGTATCGCTAAAAACGAATAAAATGTCCGATAGAGACAGGCGTAAAGATGAATACAATTTGTTGAAATTATTAGCATTTTTAATTTTAACGTGTAACATTGTAACTCAGAACCTGGATGAAATTACGACAGATATATATTATCTTGTTTCCATTCGATAAAATAATTTCGCGATATGGAAATTAATAAGCTACAAAGATTATGATATTAAGACATAAAACACCCTCAATAATGGTATTGAAAATCGATATTATTCTGTCGGTATATTATTTTGCCGTGATATTCTTTTGGTCGGTTTAATTTTGCAAACGTGCAAGAACAATGTATCTCAATATCGCCGCGCGAAACATTTTTTACGATAACCGTAAAAATCAGTTTCATTTGTGCTGCGCACATAAATTGGCGTAAAGGCTGCCGTTCGGAAGTTATCGATAACCACACTGGCCGACATATCTGTCGTGTATAGAAAACTTCTCTATTTGGCTTTCCGAGCCGGAACTCAGCCGGGGCCGGTGCACTTCGCTGAACGAACAGGTCACTAATTATCCTACGAGGGCGAGCGCAACACCTTGCTTGCTTCATGTCGCCCCGTATGTACCGGGAACAATGAGACGAAAAAGAATGAGCAACGGCGTGGCGCGTAATGCAGGCAATGGTGGTTCTAAATCTTTGCCGTCCCACGGCGAATACTCGTCTTATTTTTTTTAACTCCTACTGAATGCACCTTTTCACATTCTAGTCGTGTGTCTACGTTTCGTAATAATCTGTTTTCCTTTCCGTTATACTCGCTTTCAACGATACCTTTTAGCCTGCTAAAATTTTGATTAAAACGGATACCCTGTCGTGACTGACACGCGTTCGCTTGTTTCGCGCGTTGAAAAATTAAAGCGTCCGTTGGAAGAACGTCGTATATGTTGCTTTTGATTAATTAAACTTCGCATCTAAATAAAGGGAAAACTTCATTAATGTGCTCTCGCAACTTTTCATTTAATTATATTTATTTACAGAAGTGATATTCGTGTAGACTTTTTTCATAAAAGTAACAATATCGATGATAATGATACGCGGTGTCTCTTGCGATGACGCTTTAAATTATTTGGTTTGCTGGGTTTTGGTAGCTTGAATTGCGGTAATTTGTATATGTTTATGAATGAAATAATTAATGAGCCACCGAGCGCATTAATTTTAAACGCAACCGAAGTTGATGAAAATTGACCAGAGACATTGATAGACGGTTTTCTTATCAAAGGCGTGTTTGCAATTCAGGAGGTGTTAAAAGGAAGGATTTTTCAAAGTTTTATTCATTCATTTTAATTAAACAGTTCACACTTCTTTTGATAAAAACGGAAAGTATTCAGAAAATGATCAAAAAATAAAATACAACTTGTGCAGTATTTTTTATACAATTATTAGAATTTGCCGGGGCTATTAAATATATTGCTTGAATAGATTTTAATTTAAGATTCATTGTAGGAATGGGAATATATTAAGTATAAAAGATATGCCTGAGAATGGCTCCTCTTAAAGCTCTCTAAGAAGAAAATTGCTTTATATTCACTAATAAATTGGTTATTAAAATGAAAGTTGCAGATTCTAGGACACGCGATAGCGAGTTAAACTTTTCTTCCCTCGAACGTTATTTGTAGCCGCCGTCGCTTGCGCTTTCGAACGGACGCTGGTTAATTGTAGAAACTTGGGCATAGTGTCGCGATTTCCCGCTGGTGATTTCGCGCAATCATCATGCCGCTACGCTGATAGACGCCGCGAATGCACGCGCCTGGCTGAATAAGGAGATTCCAGGAGTGCGTTTCGATGCGTCTTCTTGCGGAGACCGGAATTAAGTGCAACGAGAAGAAACGAGTGGAATTCACAATGTTACGCTTTATTCGGTATAAACGGTCAGGCTTTCTAGAATTACACTAGATTCCTTGGACATGACGAACCGGGCTCGATTACAATGCCGCTACGGGGGACCCGCAAGAAACCCGCCGAGGCGAAATTTTTACCAACAGACAGCTGAAACTCGTAGCGAGATGAGATTTCTACACGTTAACTCGGATGAATATTCAGCCGTACATTTTTTACGTCTACACGGGCAGAATTTCCTCTTAAAATTTACCCGTAAAATCAAGCGGCCGTGGGACGACATGGCACTTCGAAGAGCTTTATGGGAGTTTTCGGAAATTTTGCCATACATTTCACTAGTAAAATGTGCCCTAAGTATAATCACTAGTAGAACTTCAAAGAAACTCTCTTAAAATTCGTCGAAGTGCCCCGCGCTCACACGATTTTCAGGAGAAATTTCAAGAGAAGATCCTCTCCGCGTGTATAAATTGAAAAAAGCGTTCGCGCGACGAGTCTTTCGTCAGGCGCGACTGCATTATCTCGTACTTTATCTCGGCCATCAATTATCATCGCGTTATTATCTCCCCCCCCCCCCGTAATTCATTTTTAATTTCAAATTCTCCCCATTGTCTATCGAGCCTTATCTTTCGATTCTCGTCGCCTGACCTTAACCAATTCCAGCTAATTAGCCGAGCCGGCGGCGATAGTACTCGCGTAATCACGCGGCACGAACGCGGTTGATCTTCCGCGTTCGGCGTCAGGAATTAGCACGCGGTCCACGGTGAAATCTTCGGTAACAGTTCGTTGTACGCTAGTTACGTTGTTCTTGGGAAGGTTCTCAGAGGTTCTCCACCGAGACAAAGGGGGCATCATACGCGCGTACCGTTCGCCGGAAGTCGGGTAAGGGGGCTTTACTCGCGATAGCCGTTTAGATACACGCCGCATTTCTCCGCAAGAATTGGCACGACCGCAGGTGAGAATAAATCGGGGCGGTCCAACGTCTCACTCTTTGCTCCTTGCCATTTCGAGTCGGCGCCTTTATTACCCAATTCTCCGCGCCGCCCGTTGTCTCGCGTGACGTCGCACATACGCGCGGCGTGCACGCACACGAGCTCGCCTGATCGAAGAAAAGAAATTCTCAGAGCGATATCAGACTACCCGATCAATGTTAATTAACCCCCTTTTTTTCGTGAAACGTTGTCACGTCGCGATCAATTGTAGCGTTTCAATTATCGCACATAAAAGCCTACGGACCCTCCGCGAATTAATTCTCCTTTGACAGAGGAGGAGCGTTTGTATTCTCGCGCTTGGATCGTTGCTTTGCAGCGAAAATTCTATTAAAATGCGGCAAATTCTACTTGATGAATTGAACTAGACTGAAATAATTATGGCAAGCTTCTGCGCCCGACAAGACGAATCTTTGCAAGATCGATAAAACGTTTATATATAACAGCTTGTTATTTATTGAGCTTCCGTATCGAATAGCTCGGTGATCGAGAGTTAGATTAAAGTTCCAGGAGGAAGTAAAGCGCTGCTTTAAGTGAAGCTAATAAAGAAATTAGCTTTGACTTTAAGCTTCAATTGTAATCTAAGGTGCATTAATGTAATTTATCTGGAAACTAACTGCAGGGAATGTCTCGAGCGCAAAAAACGTAGATATCTGATTGCGCCCCGAGGGTGTAAGATTGAGGGTTCTCTGGAATGCCCACGTCCACGTGCGAACAACAATAGTGGTCGCGTTTGAGATTATTGCCAGTAAAGGGACCGCCCGTAAAAGATCCCGTCCTCCATCAAGGATTCAATGTCTCCTAAGTGCCGGGCACAAGGGCCGTAGTTAGGAAGGCAATCCAATATCAGTGATGCAGGTGCCAGTCGTTCGGGGTTTCTATCGCGTCCTATTATCATCCCCGGAAGGCGCGAATCGATCGGTATTTTTATTCGCGAGCTCACGCCCCGACGCACCGCGTTACGCGCCTTCTCGTGACGCCGTTCCTCTATTAGCACGCTTTATTTCTTCCGCAAAACATCGCCACTCCGTTGTGTGCCTCGAGCTTTTTTTATAATCCAGCTTTATGACGCAACACACCGCCGCGCGTACGCGTGTGTGCGTACACGTGTGCACGCGCGCGCGTACGAGCGCGTCAGTGTGTGTGTGTGTGTGTGTGTGCGTGTGTGACGTCACGTTCCGTCGACCGCCCTACGGAAGATGTAACGTGCCAGGTCTTTTTCGAAAAATACGCAGCCATTTGGATCACTTCCAAAAGGAGGAGCGAGCGAGGAGTGTAGCAACGCGGTGGGAAAAAATTGTCATACACGGAGAAAAATTACGCGGCGCACATTTCGCAAGTTTCCCGATAAATCTCCCCGGTTCGGTACTTCCGCTTTAGATCAAACATCGTCGTGTTATTCCCATTGTGTTTTCTGCAAACGGCCCAGAATCGTTATTTGCCGTTAAATACGCGGAAATTACGAGCCCGTAACAAACACGCGCTTTTATTTAATTGTTATTTGCGTTGCTATAACAATTGGAAAAATATCTTCGGTTATATCCATTCAAAAATAAAGCTCTTGTGCGCCAACTGTCCCAGTTCCTTTCACGAGCGAATGCGACGAATCGTATATATTTAAAAAAGGCAAATCCATTTATAAATTATTCGCCGAATAACTGAATAACTTAATCTCCGCCGAGACATTAATCACGGTGAATTGTTATCTTATCTCGCAGGCAATAACTATAGGTGATTCACGAGAGAGTTTTTTCTTAATCAAAAGTGTAGTGCTCGTGTACAGTCTTATTCATTAATCCCTGGACCTGCATTTCTACCATCATTTTCCCATCTGTACAAATCACTGAGTTTCAGACTTGTATGTATTACAGACTTTTATATCCCACCGAGAAATGACTTGTCGATCGACGAATCATTTCTCACTGGGATACTATTGGACCTTCGAGCTGAAAAGTACGGCAAAAGTTCCGCCGTGTCTTGTTAGGCAAATAAAGTAGTATGTGTGCACGCTACTTTTATTTACCTAGCAAGACATGGCGGAACACTTGCCTCACTTTTCACCTCGAAGGTAGCAGCCCAGTAGTATACATACAGAAATCTGTGATGTACCGCCACAGACTTCTATAGAAGCTGTGTGAACTACAGCCTGAAACCACAGACTACTAGACCGCTACCTTCGAGCTGAACAGTGAGGCAAGAGTTCCGCCATGTCTGGCTAGGTAAATAAAAGTAGTATGCACCGATGCACACACACGTACTACTTTATTTACCTAACAAGAACTCTTGCGAAACTTTTCAGATAGAATTATAGAAATTGTAGAAATCTGTGACGTACCGCCACAGACTTCTATAGAAGCTGCGTGAACTACAGCCTGAAACCATAGACTTTTATTTACTACTAGACTACTAGCTTCGAGCTGAACAGTGAGGTGAGATTTTCGCCATGTCTGGCTAGGTAAATAAAAGTAGTATGCACCGATGCACACACGTACTACTTTATTTACCTAACAAGAACTCTTGCGAAACTTTTCAGATAGAATTATAGAAATTGTAGAAATCTGTGACGTACCGCCACAGACTTTTATAGAAGCTGCGTGAATTACAGCCTGAAACCATAGACTTTTATTTACTACTAGACCGCTAGCTTCGAGCTGAACAGTGAGGCGAGATTTTCGCCATGTCTGGCTGGGTAAATAAAAGTAGTATGCACCGATGCACACGTACTACTTTATTTATCTAACAAGAACTCCTGCGAAACTTTTCAGATAGAATTATAGAAATTGTAGAAATCTGTGACGTACCGCCACAGACTTTTATAGAAGCTGCGTGAACTACAGCCTGAAACCATAGACTTTTATTTACTACTAGACCGCTAGCTTCGAGCTGAACAGCGAGGCAAGAGTTCCGCCATGTTTTGCTAGGCAAATAAAGTAGTATGTGTGTATCGGTGCACACTACTTTATTTACCTAACAAGACATGGCGGAACTGTTGCCAAACTTTTCAGTTGGAAGGTAGCAGTCCAGTAGTATATAGAAGTCTGTGCCTGAGACTCATCGATGTATATAAATGCGAATAAATATGAAAATGTGAATCCTAGTGAGACCGGGGTCGAGGCATTAATGAATAAGACTGTACAAAGGCGCGCGATGGTCATACATCGCGTTTACTCGCTCTATTATACATTCGTACACGATAAAAATACACTCGTACATACATCGCCGTCAGAGAATCGCATATTTATAGATACCGATGCGATGTTCGAGGCAAATGAATGCATTAACATTCGGAGCTCGGAGCTGGAATTGCCTCCTCTCTCTCTGTCTCTCTCTTTCCGGTTTCTCACGAAAATTCGCGCGCGAAGCGTCGCAGGATCGGGGGGCCCTGGACGACGCGCGAACGATTAGCAGTCTAATGCCGCGCTCTCGTCTTCCAGACGACGGGCTCGCTGATCGTTTGCGAAAGGACTTGCAAATGGTGTCCCGACGCGATCAACGGACCGGGAGGTCGAGAGCCTCGAGGAAGTGATCCTCGTGCGAGACCGCGCGCGCGCGCGCACACCAACTCTCCGTACGTGTACGCGCGAGCGTAGTTATGTATGTATCCGCAAGCGTGATTATGCACCTATCCGCGTGCATTTATTTTCCGCGGCGGTAGCTCGTTTCATCACGCTTGCTTTCTTCCGAGCGCGACGCCCGTCGCTGCCGCGGCCGATGCCGTGGACGACGTTGCAGCCAGTTTAGTTCAGTGACACCTACTCCGCAGCGCGTTATTACGCGCACGCAACGGACGCACACGTCGCGCGCGCTCTCCGCCGCTCTCGCACTTTGCGTATCGTGCGCGCCGTGCGTGCGAACCCCGTGCTACGACACGGATGCTCCGCCTGGCGTGGACGCGGCACGGAAAATCCGTCCGCCGGGCTACTATATCGTCCGTTTGTTTTTGCTCTGTTTACCTAGGCGCAGCTTACAGTGCGCCTCTCAGCGCGCGCTCGGCTGCGCGCGCGGTGCTAAGAAAAGAAGCCTACCGGCGGATTAATTTGCTTTAACGCGTCAATTATCGCCGCAAAAGCGATTCGAAGAAATCGCGCGAAATTGGAAATTGGGATGTAAACGTTAAAAATATACGAAATGCTCGGGGGGAAACAGAGCATAGTTTCACTTGTGCACGCGCCGGGAAAATGTAATTAATAACGATCTGATAATTTGCTTTAATACGTTTATTTTTAATTGAAGACAATCTTGTAAAGAAATCGCACGCGAGAATTGTAGCGTTGAGGGCTCGTGAAACTAAAAGCGAGCAGGGGTTACGCGATAAAAAGCGATCGGTATTAACGGTATTCCGTTACGCAACTGAATCGCAATAATTTATGCTAAATCTTTCGACGCTGCCAATTAATTCATCTGTCATTAATTAGCTGTTCGGCGATCATCGCTGAATGAATAAGCAGCCTATTCATAATGGAATATTCGCTGGATCGGACGAACGTTTCCCCGAATAATACCATTTGCCGAGAGACAGGACTGGTTTAGATAAACGACAATTCCTCCGATTGCAGATAGAACGCGAGCTGATCCTGTCGTCGGGAGACAAGAATTCCAAGATCCCCATTCTTCACGAATACAAACAGAGGACCGCCGGAAGAGTCGCCATCGCGCCGGATGCGCCGATCAAGCAACAGGCCTGGGTTCAGGAGGTGAGTCCGATTCTTCCTCGATAACTCACACGGCGAATAAAGCCCCGCTGATTTCCTTCGGGTCTTTCCTTCCGGATAACAGCGGTTAGCGTAACGAGATGCTCGGGGTCATTTACACGGAGAGAATTTTCTCGGAAAATTTACCCTGAAAATCATGTAATCGTGGAACAATATGGTATTTTAAAGAACTGTATGAGAGTTTTTTCCGAAGAATTTTTACATTCTATTAGAGTTAAATGTATACTAAGTATAATTTCTAGTAGAATGTATGGTAAAATTTGAAAATCTCTCATAAAATTTGGGGCAAATTTTTTTAAAGTCGACTAGTCTGGCAAAAGAGTCATCTTTATTTAATTCACGACTTAAAGATCACGTTTGCCAGTCTGGTCGACTTTTAAAAAAATTTCTCCTGTGTTTAATTACCACTGGCGACAATAAGCTTCACTCAATTTTGTCTCATAAAATTCTTCGAAGCGCTGTCCGACACGGTTTACAGGGTAAATTTTAAGAGAAATTTCTCTCCGTGTAAAGTGACCAAATGCAGATACTATGAGGATAAAAAATTTGATGAGTCGCTAATAAACGACATTTTAAATTCACTTAAATCTTGCTCTTTTAAATATTTACAACTTTACGCTATATTGTCGACATCATAAAAGACATCGAAGTGATTTTATGTCGCTTATCAGCGACACGTCAAATTGTCAATTAATCCGCAATTGGTATCTGGGTTTCTGTCATGGAAATGTTTGGAATGGATTCCGATCGGAATTATCGCCGTTTCCTTTAGAAAACCCAAGAGAAATCTACGAAATAGTTGAAGAATTCCACTCGGAATCCATCCCGAACCTTTTCATATTAGATCCTGATCCGAATTTGGTCACCTTACGCTACTGTCACTGCAGTTCTCTTCTCGCCCCGCTATCTGCGCTCCCTTATCACTTAAAGTACAAACGTACGCTCCTCGACGGTAAGTGTCAGTTCAATAATGTAACGGATTGTCAGGTTCGTCGAAGTCGACAAACTTCTGAGGGTAGCTGGAGTGACGAAGTTTTCGTCCCACTTTGAGAGGACGGCTCTATTGTCTGACGGTCATTACGAAATCCCACGATTAATCGAGCGTCACGTGTCTGTAACGTTACGTACACGTGCCACCTACGCGGCCGTCCGTGGGCGTCAGAAACACGCGTGTCAGGCGTTCTTTTTTCTCCCGGTTATGCTACATTGATAACTTAAGGGACGGGCGTTAGAAGCTGTATCGAAAGATGACGGATGTAGGTTTCGGTGCATTTTTTATGAATTACCTGTATCGATACAGTTGTCCGATTTCGTCGCCTCGCCCGACATTACGAATTATTCTACTTAATTTCGCACTTCCCTATTTAACAATATTAAAATTATAATTTGATATTAACAGTTATAATAGTAAAAGTTCAGTAAGGGCAATGTGGGCCTAAACGAGGGTGATAAATTATCTAAATAAGTTCTAGTATATAATATATTATAAGATTGGTAACAACAAGTCCCCTATTTAATTATGTATTATTCCGTTTATTTCCTAACTCACCTTCCATTTTTTTTTGCGCGTTGATACCTCATACATTTATACCTTTTATTACGTCACATCCGCCGAGGAAAGTTCCGCGAGAATTTATCATTCTCGAAACGTACCTTTCAGTGTCTCACACGTCACACTTTTCTATTAATATCAGTGTAACATATTTCATTAATTTTCGTACTCCTTTTTCGTATCTTAATTTTATTAATGCTTTGATATCTCGTACTTTTTTTTAGATTCACTGCGTCGTATTTGTTGACGGAAAAAAGAATTACATTTTCCGAAACGCGTCTTTCATTTTCACGGCTAATTACATTTTTCTATTGATGCCAATGTAACGTACGTGACGTGACGGCAAATTAATTGGTTTAATTAACTCGAAAGTCGTATTTTTTTCTGTCTTACACCCCCCCCAAGTTTGGATTCGTCACTAATTAAGAACGACGCGTCTTCGTGATCGTATACTGCCGGAGTAAATTACATCCTGCATGGATCAGCACCGGGTGAGATTTGCGTTAACGACGTACCATGAGACCGCACCGCCGCGGCGCCGGATAATATGACATTCCCGCGTACAAAAACAAGACGGCCTTAACAGTTACGTCCATAATACACTGTAAGCACGCCGCGAATCGGTCTCTTCTGTTTACGAGATTGCGCGCCAGGTAAACTGTGCAGTTATCGGTCCGCGGATAGTCGTTGGCCGGTACCCATTGATCCTAGGATGGTGCTCGTTTATGGGATGCTTCGGGCGGTCTGTTCTGAAGCAGTGATTGTGCAGCTCGCGTACACTGCGTGTGCCAACGGCGCAATAAATATAACAGATACTCTCCCCGGATATTGCGCCCATTTTGTGAACTGGTCGACTTCGTCGCTTAACCAGCCCGATTCCGCGCCAAGTTTTGATAAAAGTTTCGCCGAGAATTCGAGAATTTTCCAAAAATTCTCACGGCACATTTTCTTACGACATCTCTTAAGGCCTGTGTCCACTTGGTCCAAGTTCTAGTTCCGAGAAACGTGCAACCAATCAACTTGCAGCTTCTATGGATTAGCTGCAAGTTGATTGGCTACCCTAGTAGCACAATATTGGGAAATAATGCAAATCTAGTATTGCCAATATTGGTCCAATATTGTAAAATGGACGCCTTTTCTTATTTAACCAATATGTCTAGTCAGCAATATTTGTAACAATCTTAGACCAATATTCTTATTACGTTGTTAAACATTGGCCAATGTGCACTTCCAATATAAATCTAATATTATATAATTCTTCTTCTGCCTCTTCCTCGTGTATTAGGCTTAAAGCCTGTTTTATCCAGTTCGAATTCTGGTACTTTGAGCATTTGGTTTTACTTCATCTTCGTTAGGCTGCTAACCTTGCCGAAGAAAACCTCCCATCTGGAAGGCTATACCCTTAAAGCGGTATGTGGCAAGATTCTCTTTGTGGTTGCCATTTCCTTTTGCGAGACTCCGAAAAGAACCAGCGGCGTCCGTGGATTTGCACTCTGATCTTTTCGTTCATTTATTTACTAAGCAGCGCACATTTCTCCGCGCCACACTCGCCACTGTATTGATATAATTATTATTATGCAATATTTACATTGATTCCATGGCCAATATTGGTTTTACATTGGACAATACCAATGCATTTCTAATATAACCGACATTGGGCCAATGTTTAGTCAATGTTTAGCTCACTGTGCCACTGGGATACACATTTCTCGAACTAGAACTTGGACCACGTTCTAGCATCGTGTACGCAGGCCTTAACAGGAAACGGCCATTGGAAATCTCCTCGTTGAGCCGTTCCTTTTTTCATTCTTAAAATATCGTCACGGAGAATTGCCGCGGTTGAGTTTAACGAAGGCGAGAAAGGGGCATTCGACTCGTAGTTTAGATTACGATAACGATTATCACGCGAGCGCGCACCGAAGGGATCGCCTTTCCGCGATTTCGCACGCAGCCGGCGAGCAGGCTCGATACGCTCCGGCGTGCAGAATGGCCAACTTTCGTTGCCTTTCGAATTATTTAAACCTACTTTACATAATACACATCATCGTGCGGTACGACACTTAATCAACGCCGTACGTGTTCGCGACGCCGTGCCGGGCGGTCGGGGCACGCCGGTGGACCCACACAGCTCGTAAACCTATTTCCAGCGCTCTCAGAAGCCCCGAGTATTGCTAACTTGGAGGATTCCGCATAAGTAAATTTTTCTCTACTTTTGTGGAAGCCACGTGCTGTACCTTTCAGCCTTGTTTTCTCTTTTTAGCGTCACGTACCGCCGTCTCTGCTTTGCAGTTTCGCCGCGAAAGTTCCTCCTTCGGCGCGGAAATGGATTGAAAAGTTCGACCGAAAAAGAACGCAAAAGATGCAGAATGCAACATTATTTTCCCTTCTCGCTTCTTCTATTTTCTTAAAGACGTTGCACCTCTGCACATCTACTACTTGTACTTTGCGTTCATAATTTCTTCCTAAAAAAAAACGTGAGGAGAGAAGGTTTTAGATTTTCAATATTGACATTAATAATTAAAATGATAGAAAAGAAGGACGCCAGGGGCAGTAGGAGCCGTAACTGGACAGAAGGTGATAAATAATAAATATATTACAAAGGTGGTGTCACAAGTATACAAAAAAAGCAAACGTTTCGGTTACGCAACCCTCTTCAGTAACAATCTGGTTAAAAAACGCTAAGTCATTATTTGAACGGTGATGAGTCGTTACAAATGACGTTAATTGGAATTAAAGTATATAAAAATCATAGAACGTCAATTAAAAGATATACGCAGATTAGGAGTAATAGAAAGAAGAGCTGAAAACTTATGTAAGCGTAATCCATCGTGATTTCGCAGCAAAGCATCTCGACAGTCTGATAGTTGGGTATCGAAGGGTTGTCTACAGATGTGGAAAAGGCAATTAAAATGTCTAAGTCTAATATATAAAAATGACGTGGTGCGAACGTCTGTCGGTATTGCAATGTCCCATTATACTAATTTAGCAGTATGATTTTTATTTGCAATATTGTCCCTTATTTTAGTCGCAGAAAACGTTCAAGTGAACAGATTTCTCTCAGTTCCCTGCCGGAAATAATTCTACAAAATTCTACAAAAAATAAAACATACTACAAAAATTATAAAATATAACTGCCAGAATCTAAGAAATTTTACGTAAATTTACAAAGTGTTATGAAAGTCAACATGAAAATGCTAGAGTTGGAACACTTTTGTGAATTTTTGTAATATTCTACAAGTAAGCAGGTGTTTTAATTCTTTAAGATTTTGTTGTTTCTCAAATCTTTACAAAATTGTACATTTTCATGAAATACCACTTGCAATAATTTCTTGATTTGAGAACATTGTAATTTGTGGTACTATTTCGTAGATATTGTCACAAAGAAATTAATGTTTCAACGAAGATATAAAAATTTCTACAAATTTCTCTTTCACGTCAATTTTCGTGGTTCTTTATAGAAATTTTTTCCGCTAGGATTTTAACGTCAGGCGTTATCGTTTTTTATATAATTCGCGGGACTACTCGTCGTTAGATTTCGATCGTTTGTCTCCCTTTCGCTCAGCTCGAACGAGGAGCCTTCTCTCACATAAAAGACATTCAAACGCGTCATCGGGGAGTCGTGAGTTTTCGAAGCGTAGCTTTCGCGCCGTGTACGAAAAACTCGGCTTTTATCTCCCGCACGGCTATAATCCCGGCACGGTATCAGCGTGGCCATAAGTCAGCGAGCCTTTTCCGTATGCGCGATGCGTGTCCGCGGGGCCCTACGCGGCCGTTGTTATTCCAGGCGCATCTCTCTTCCCGGGAACCGTAGGATTCAGTGCGTTAACTTTGAAATTCCCCGTGCGGTCGAGGCAACGCACGACGGCCACCGCGGCCGTTAACCGATGTCCTCCTTCGAAGGGAATCGTATTCGTTCCTCGGGGGGGAAGGTCGATAGCACATTACTTTATTTCACGATCACCGCCATCGTTATACAATCGAGTCGAATCATATCTCACGTTGCTCGAGGCGTCGTCGTATTCATAATCTTGTGTCTTGCGACACGAGGAGTTTACCGTATTAATTTAACGACGCTGCTTTGTAGAGACAGAGGGCCTCGACACGGTAGAAAGTTTATAGTGTACAGTGGGTAACGCTGAGTAATTAAGATCGTTGATTTCTTGGCTACGCGCATACCTAAATATAAATCTTCCCGATCCTACATATAATTAATGTCATATACAGTAGAGGAAAGTCCCCTATTATGAGATAGATTCCTCCTGTTAAATTAATAGGCATATCGTTTGTTGATTCCACCATGAATTTATTGCTCTTGGAGCGAAATCTGTTTAGTGGAGAATTTATTGTTAGATCGTGCAATCGTTGCGAGAAAAGATTTCTGATTGAATTTGGGCGCTCGAAACCTGCTGTCTCGTATTAGAAATCTATCTCGTAATAGATGACTTTCCTCTACGCTTCAGAAAACTTAATATATATTTATTTTTTTTACTGTTCTTTTGATAAATTAAAATACTGCAGCTGAACGTTTTTGTCATCTTTATTTTTAATTACTAACAAAATATTAGAGTTATTCGTCTTCAAACGATTGTTTTTAGTCTCTCGCGAAATGCTATAGAAAATTCTATTGTGCAGAAACATTAATAATTCTTTGCGTTTATTCTGCGTTTTTCCTTCTTTAATTTGTTTTCGCCGACGGTATCTTTATAAAACTTCCATCCGAGTGTTTCGTTCGCTACAAGAGCGCGCGGTTTACCGAAACATTACTCGTTTGCCGTCCTCTCTTTGCGAGGGAAGATAAATCCCGCAAATTACGTCCCGACGACATCCGTTTGAACTATGAATCCCTTCCACGGTCGCGGCGTAACGGTTGACTTCTTACTTGTCTGTGAAATTATGTACTCGGGATAGTTTGACTTTGCATAATTTCGCGGCAGCTGGTCCCGAACTACGATCGTTAAAATTGCGAGAGCTTATTTCACTGAAGTCGCCGCTTTTATTAAACGATTCTCAGCGAAGAAGCACGTTTTTAGGAACAAACTTTAGATGAGTTCCGCTCGTTGCAAGTTAGACGACTTTGGGACACTATTTCTGTCGTAAGTGTGCGCTTCGTGCTATGAATTGTTCCTCTCTAAGAGAACAATGTCTGACGAACCGCACGCGAAATTAAGGCGTCACATCTCGATTTACGCTCCTTATTGCTATTTATTTTCCTACGGCACAGAAAGAAAGCGAGAGAATACTGCTATATTTTCCAATTTCAATGGATTTTCACTTTTCGAGAATATTGTAACGTAAAACGAATAGCTACTGTTTCTAATAAATTTATAATAATTTCTACGCTTGTAATTAAATAACATTCGAAAAGCAAATATTCTGATCGACACGAGATATAAAAATGACTTTAAAACAATCGAGTTGTCATTTTTTAAACTACGACCGAAGCTTTAACAAAATATACATTTGACGAATAAAAATTTGTTAGCGGTGATTGATTTTTAACGCGGCGCCGATATTTTCAGCGTGGCCTCTCGCGAACCGTAAAGCTTACGGTCGCTCTTGCCTATCGTGAAAGCTTAATCCATTTTCCCCATTGCTTTTTGACGCGCAAACTACGCAAACAACTTTCCCCTAACACAAATTAATATATGCCCTGCGTGGCGAATAATTTAATATATCAACTCGCTACAACAACGGAAAACGGCCAACTTATTCAATTTTAATTAGACTTCAACTCCCCTTGCGTTTAGGTGTTTTTAATCGGAAGGCAAGTTTCGCCGATGCGTAAGTTAGCGGTTGAGCGCCGACCTCGTGGGACGCTGCCACGTTTTCGATGCTGCCGATGCGTAATTACGTATTCCTCGTTTGACGGCTTAATTAGACGTATCTAACGAAACCGCCGTTGTGGAATTAGCGGATTTACATAGGACGTTACACGCCCCCCCCCCGTAATTTTTAACGACGTGTGCCGATCATTAACGACGTGCGCTCGCCAGAGGAATGCATTTGTTCTTTTTCTTTTTCAGGGAACTCAGATGCAGGAAGTTAGACAGGACGGCCAAGCGAGGAATTATCAGTCACAGGACGCCTACTCGTAATTACTTCATACTTATTTCACGCTCACGTGAATTACGATCCTTCTGTAAACAGAAAGAGAGAGAGAGAAGCCTCTGCGAGCCTGTTGTTTGAGCTCAGATACCAGCTCTTTTTTCCAATTCGCGTTGCATTTTATTGATCCCAGATAGCATACATAGTTCTATGAATATTCTGGAGTGCAAATATTCTTAATTTTAGAATATTCGAATCGAATATTCTGTAGATATTTATAGAATATTCGATTCGATATATATAGATTATTACAAGTAGAAATCGTATATTCGCAACAAAGACGAACCGTTTTTAGAATATTCGTCGAGAATGTCGTTGGAATATTCGTTCAGAATAAGTTTTGAATATTCATCGAGCTCATGTATTGCACATTATTTATTGTGTAATACACTTATCTTACGCAAAAGGCAGTGAAACCTGTGATCGTACCATATACATATAACCGACACGCTATAACATAAGAATGACCAAATATTCTTGAAGAATATTCCTAAAATGTTCACAGGAGTGTCTTGTGCTATCTGGGATACAATCGATGCTAAGCTAAGCACAAAATCGCTTCACGATCGTTAATGGCAATATTCACCGCAGCGTTATCGTACCCCACGTATCATAATAACGCGTTGATACTCTTAGGCCCGGTTTTTCATTTTCCGGCTAACTGTTAACCAGAGGTAGGTCGACTCTCCATCTTTTTCTATGTTATTATCTAAGAAGAGACAGAGACTCGACTAACTTCTGGTTAACATTCAACCAGAAAATGAAAAATCGGGCCTTAGGGCCGCCTGTTCCAACCTCTTGGTAAGTTAACTAATAGTTAAATATGTATGTCCTTGTTCTTTCCCTCAAATTAGACAAAGATAGGCACATAATTTAACTATTAGCTCACCAACTCTCTAAAGTTTTTGGAGTGAAGATGGAACTATGGAGTGAAACATTCACTCTGTTGGAGCAAATCTTTACTCCATTAGAATGAATATTTACCGCAATAGAGCGATTATTTCACTCCATGGTTCTATTTTCACTCGAAAAACTTTCGAGAGAAGAGGTTGGAAAAACCGGCCCTTGAGGGATTAAATTTATTATCGCCCTATTCAGATCGACGTCTAGCGGTGCGGTGCCGAGAACGGCGAAGATTGACGAGGAAAAGACAAAGTCACTCTCCAGAACTTATCACACGATCAAGGACATGATCTCGAGCCGTTTCGGGCCGAGTCGCAAGGACGCCGAGCCGGAACCGGAAGCCAGTCTGAACAACGTCACGGAGGAGCTGCGAAAGTCGAGCAGGAGCATCGACGATGACGAGGCCAGGAAGAAGGAAGGGATTTACGGAAAACCCCGCGCGCAGGAGCCGTCGGTTAATGTGCAACAATATCCGAAGAATGCTTACGGTAAGTTGGACGCGACCGAGCAAGATGCTGGTCGGGCAATTAAGCGCGTTAAGGCGCGATGCTCAGCGAGGTGCCGTTAATTAGCTCATAAATGTTGATGAATTAATTTGAGGAAAAGGCCTGTCGAGCGGAACGTTAAATGGCGGAATTGCATGTTTTATAAATATGAAACGGCGTGTGCAAGTGTGCATTAACTTGAGTGCATAGCAACGGACTTTTCTGTGCCATAGGTGCACAAACTTTATATATTTACGGAACATTAATTGTTAACGTTATAAAGGTTGTTTCCTGAGAAACTTACTTCCTATTGTTTAATGATTGACTTGCCCGTACAAAGTGATACATTAATTAACTTATTGCGCGGCTTAATTAAATAGTTGATTACAATAAATTCGTGAGGTGTAAAATACCTACGTTATATAAATATGTTATTTGTAATAAATGATGCAAGTTGAAAATGTGAAAAGTTGCAAATTCCATTCGTAATCTGCAAGTCGTCTTTAAATAATGACGTTATCCGTCACAGCCGATGATTGATGCAAACTTACTGTATTATATATCTCTGATTTTTATTTAATATGCGAGCTCACCTCGCCGTTTGTAACTCACAACTTGTCGCTTACAACGTGCACGCGACGTGAGACTTTCTTCCTTTTTGCGCGGCGTGTTGCTCGCGCTCGCTTGTTGTGCAAACTTGTAAATTCACAGCGCACAGAGTCTCGCACGTGCAATATCGCTGCCATTATTTCACGATCTATCGTAAGCTTTAATGTTACAAGTAATATTTCGCCGTCTAATCGTTCACTCAATTCGAGATTAACATTCGATAGAAGATGAAACGTTAAATTTCTACGAACGAATGTAAAATTAATAATTCATTAGTTCTCACCTGTCGAATAAAATGCATGAATAAGTTAAAATCTCTCTCTCTCGAGAGAGAGAGAGAGAGAGAGAGAGAGGAAAGGACACGTTTATAAGAGAAAAGTTACGAGTCATTGGATATTTAGGACTATATGTGTGTATGTTGAAAAGCAGGTCGGTGAAATCGGCTATATAAGATTCCATATTCATATTCTCATAGCCCCATTCGACTATTTCCGACGATTGTTTTTATGTAAAGTTTTCCCCCAGCATCTCAAGTTTCGTCGCGCCATATTGATATCCTCATATCTTTCAGCGTTTAAGCCCTTCTCTGTAATTTTCATACCCTTTCAGCCTTTTAGCGCCTCTCCGTAATTTCTATGACCGTAATAATGATTTGTTCACGAAATGTGCGCTCCGACGTATGTAGTTGGCACATAAATAGACGAGAAACTTTCCTTTTAATTAACTTCAGTAGTGCGCATTGCATATTCATACATTTTAGCATTCCTGATAGCGTTCAGAACGAGCATGTACGTTTATGATGCAACGTTTTAGTTGCACTTCAATACTTCAGTGGGTATTAAAGCAATTACCCCAAGTCCTTATAATATATGCATTTTTAACATGCAAATGCAATGAGAAATGCAACACGTTTAACAGAGAATTCATGTATTTAACGGAGAAAAGTAGCAATAATTTTTATTACGTGTCACATACGATCTGTGGTACTGGATTTCATTTTCTTCGTGACGGGTCCCAGTCGATCGACGAATCATTTCTCACTGGCGTGGACCTTATGTAGAATCTTTTCTCTCGTTGTTCAGGTCAGTACGGCCACTCGTATGGCTATCAAAGCAACCAACAAAATGTACCTCTGCCAGGGCAACTGCAGCCAACCGCGACCATTCAGCCAAATTTACCAGGACAGAGCGCTCAGCTTCACGTGACCCACCACACTCCGCCAGGAGGAATTCAAACAGTTCATCAAACCCAAGTTCCTGCTTTCGGCCAAACCGCGACAGGTGCGCAGCAGGTGCAAAATGTTACGAGGGAGTACATGGTTCAGACAACGGGCGGTATGACCGGGCAGCAAATACATCAGGGAATCCATCAGAATCCCACGCAAGCACAGGTACACCTCGCGAGATTAAGATGAGAAATGCCCGCGTCGATGTCTAGATAAAAATCGCTATGGATAAATGATGCGAGAATTTGACGTTAACAATTCCCGCGGGGTTACTGGATACTTTTCACGACTCTCACGTCTTACAGAAGTCAAACCGAACGATTTCATTCACAAAGTAAGAGAATTAATGAACTTAACTCGATGTTGAAACGAAATTTCCAGAATTAATCAAGTTAAGAATTAATATTCAAGTATTCGAAAATATAAAATAATCCTTTCTTCCTTCGTCCGTTCCCCTCGAATTCAATTTGTGGAATACAATTTATTTCATTTCAACTTGTCTGTAAAAATTCATTTAAATTGCTCTTTGATAGGGAAAGACAAACGTATGCTTTGTTTAAATAAAACATATTCCGTGTTCGTGCGTAATATTGTTCGTATTCTTACGAGGGTGCGGATACACGTTGCGTGCAGGAAACGCGGAGAGTCACCTGCGGATGAAAAAATAAGTGTCTCATAGCTCGTCATCTGCCTCCTCGTAGCGACATCTCCGTCATGTAAATTCGAAAATATAAAGTAACAACATAGTCGTCAAACCAATCGTGTCTTATACAAAAGCGACTGCACAGCGGAACACTAAATGGCATAATGTGATGTCCGGATGATAACGTGGCGTGTCACGGCTCGCAGAAATGTTCCATCTGCAGGATAATGATTGATACTTGTCTAACCGCGCGTCAACATTTTAGTTTGTTAAATAACGGTTGGTATAATGCTTGTATAATGATAGCAAACGCGGCGCGCTACGAAGCGCTAAATCACCGACGAACAGCGCGCAGTATATTATTCATAATGACGCATCTCAACAACTTTCTATGCTGTTGCGTACACGCTGGGAAAGCTCCGCGAAGAAGTCTGTAAAATTTGCATAATCGCGCTGAAAATTGTACGGGATTACTTTTTATAACGCAATGACGTCGACGCACGATCGTCGGTTGTGGCGGTTCGAATAAGAAAAAGTACAGAAGAGAGTCCCAACGCCCAAAATAATGATATATAAGTAAGATTCACCAGATCTCCCTCGTGAGTAAAATAATATATTTATAACAGCGATTATTGAAATAATAATTGTCTAAACATTTTCATTTCTAGAAAAAGCATACAGACGTGCAAATTATCTATTTTAACGGCACACGGTATTATTTTTCCTACTGGATTGCTTACGAGGGTTCTTGAGGATTTAGTCACTTGATCTGAAATTCTGCATTTTTATTGGTTCTCTGTAAACAATTCAGTACGCGGGGAGAATTTTCTCTGAAAATTTACCCTGAAAATCGTGGAACACGGAATTTTGAAGAGCTTTATGAGAGTTTTCTGAAATTTTACTAGCAAAATGTATGGTAAAATTTCAGAAAACTCTCATAAAATTCTTCGAAACGCCGTGTTGTCCCGCAATTATATAATCTTCGGAATAAATTTTCAGAGAAAATTCTTTTCGTATAAGAAAAATAGTATCGTGTGCCGATGACTTAATTAATGGACATCCCGATGGAACAATTTAGAAATAGGATAACGGTACGCGTTAATGGTAAACATAATAAATAAATTCTTGTTTTGTAAAAGAAGACAGTCATTGAACTTTAAGAAGGAATAAATTTGCCGTGCCGACACTCGCGTCTCTCTACGGATAATTAAAGTCTAACTAAAGTAGATTTCCAATACGTTAGCGGTTCTACGAAAAAAACAGATAGGTATTCACGACTTAACGGTAGCTTATTGTTAACGAGCCGGTTGGTTGATTCAGGGGCAAGGCACGCAAGTGCAAAAACCGCACGGTCTATCCGTGCAACAGCATCAAGTGGGCAACGCGATGCCGCCGACAAGCCCGAGCTTCCAGAGTTCTCAGCAGTTGCTTCATCAGAACCAGAACCATCATCAGAGTCCGCGGTTCGCGCAGCAGCACGCCCAGAACATGCATCAGCGTCAGCAGTTGATTCAGCAAATGCACCAGCAACAAATGGCCGGCCAACAGGGATCGCAGACCGCGAGCGTCCGGAACATGCAGCAGTCGTATTTCCCTAACAGCGTCTCCTATCAGCAGTATCAGCAGGCGCGACAGGCGATGTCGAGGTCGCAGATCGATCTCCCGAGCACGTCAAGACAAACGCAAGAGCTTCGGGTATCGGGCCAAGAAATCTACTATCATTACGCCCAAGGAAGACCTCGTTACGGCGTTCCCCAGGTATACATGAAGACCGAGAGTAATCAGGAAACGGAGTTTCAGAGGCGGAACTCCGCGAAGGGTATCGAGAAGGCGGCTTCGCAGCCGCAGCTCTGTTACGAGGACGAGCGAAACGCTGAGGTTTCCAAGAATCCCTCGGAGAATATGAAGAACTTGACGGTAGATCCGCTGGATAAAGAGAGGTAAGACTTGAAAAAGCACTTATCGTACTAATAAGCTTCCTTAAACTAAACGAACACAAGTAAAAATTCTAACTTAATAAGTGGAAGGGAGTTAAACGGATAAAGAGAGTAAAATAAGAGAAAATATATTCTAGAGCTTTTAAAAGCTTAGGTCTGAGAATGCTGTGCATTTTAGATACGAGATCACAGTGGAAGATCGAAGTCAATGCGAGCCCGGAAGAAACGGATTACAAAGGAACGAGGAGTACCGTCCGGAAACCAGCTTTGGCATTCGGAGAGATGAGACGCGGACTTCGAAGAGGGAGCAGGAGCAGGGATCGTCGGGTCAAGAGGGAGGTCAGGATTCGACGGAGGGAAACTCCGTGCAGAAGAGGATCGAAGAGTTGCAGAAGAGAGCGGAGCAGGAGGGTCATTTCAACTCCAAGCCACTAAAAGACGATGCGGACGGCTTAAGGGTCGGCCTGGCTACGAAAATGATCGGCGAGGCATCGAAGAGGCTCGACGGTGGACAATATAGCGGGAAGGAGCCCGTTGTGAAATCAGATAGGAAAGACGATCTCGAGCAGGGTATCGGCCGGCTGAAGATCCAGAATCAAGGCTCGGGCTCGGATTACGACAAGGCCGGCCAGAGTTCTTCGAATGTCGATTCCGGAAGGGGCTCCGCAGTCTATTCGAGTGGAAGGCGCCCGCCGCCCGATGATCAAACTTTGGCGCAAGGTAAGAGTCGACTCTTTGATTCTACTTTGAGCTTCTTCATAGTCGTCTTCTTACATATACACACACTTCAGTAGTGCTACTGGACTACGTCAGCTGTTTCCAATAGCAAATCGATTCTTATATATTTAGTTTTTAATTTTCTCTCTTAACAGTAAGTAAAAATAATACGTTTAAAGAAATTTAATATATTATTTTAGTTTTGTAAAAATTCTTTTCTATTATCAGTTGAAACAAACATTACAGTTCTTCTTTCTCTTTTGTTGTGAGATATTACTTTATTTCTTTCATTTGTTGAAATTCATTAACATGTGCTTATTGTTTAGCGTATGAAAAACGTTCTAAAAAGTTAATAAAAAAATAATTACACGTTCTGCGAAAAATACATTTTTTATTATACTACTTTCATTAAAGAGACATGAACATGTGATTATAAAAGCGAGACTACGATAACCGTTTAAATTATATGTTAAAAAATTTGGTGAACTTTATTGCGCCGTTTTTACATTCGCGATTAATTCACCATCTTTCCTTTTTCTTTCGAAGATTTCGAAAGTATTGATCGCTCTGTCAGAGTTTGTGATTTCTATCTTCCTTCGTAGTACAAGATTCCGAGTGGGTAGACATAGTGGAGTCGGAGTTGAGAAGTATTTTGGAGCCCAGGGACGTTCCAGCGATGGCGCACTCCACATTGTCCGAAAGTGTATCCTCGGTGACGCCGCCTCTGCCACCTCTGTCACCCCATGACAGCCCACGTACGCCGAGAAATCGATACTCAACGAGGTAACCCAACTTCAAACAGGTTCCTCTTCTTCATGCAACCGGTGTTACTTCCGGTCACCGCCTCGAGTCACTTCCGATTCTGTTACCTTTCTCGCGTATCGAAATTCCGATATCGTTGTCTGACCGAAAAGTGGCCGCTGCGATGTTAAAAATAAACATCTCTCTGTTGCAACTCATAAATTGTTAGTCACGCGAGACTCGGTTGCAAGATATTGATTTGGCGAAACGTCAATTTCTAATTGTTCCCATTATTCTTGATAAAAACATCATCTTACACAAGATTTCTAGCGAATTAATTTTATCAAACAATCTTGCACAGGAATTTTTAACGTAATATTTTGCTTTAAATGTGAGTACTCTTAACAATATTAATAAAAATGTTTTTGTTTTAGTTTACCGTACGGGTCGAAACCAAATTACAGCGATTACGGCAAGGCTATGGAAAAAAGAGGTTTCTCGAGTAGCACGAAACATCGTGGCGCTTCGACGTCCAAGAAGGAAGCTGCGAAAAAGTTTTCTCATCGTGAGTATTTCTTCGGATACGTATATCATTATAATATATTATTATAATATACATTTTTCATCGTAACAATTTTTTTATTTAAAATGTTAATCTGATCATATACTTCTTGTACACAATAGAGTTTGTTACCTTCATATTGAGAGACAGAGATTTTTATAATTAATTGTTATGAAGAACATTGAATCTTTCATGATAAAATTTATATAATTTCAAAATGGTTAATAGCAAGTTTTATTCAGCATCACTTTCTTACATTTGATGGTTTTGTGTTAACATACACACATACGTTTCCAGTCTTCGGGGTAGAGGCTGCTGATTTAACATCCACCACGACAGGACTTGACTTGGATTCCATGTTGGACAGAAGTGACTCCGATCTCAGTACGACCGATGCAAGGACAATCAGAAAACAGTTGGAAGGCTTAGAAAATATGTATAGCGAAGTGAGTACGATATTACTTACTCGATAAAATCATCCGTTCTTCCTTATTATTTTATACTATACTTTTTCCCGAGGAAATAAGGTTGTACAAAATGAAGAAGAGACGATGCATTGCTTTCTACATTCTTCTAAACAAAAATGCACGTTGTGTTAGTAAATTTATTTTGAAGACATTTTCTTATTACTTTAGTTATTAATTTAATGTAACTACTCAGGTAGAGGCGAGGCACAGCACTTAGCATTTATCTTACACATGGAAATTTAAAAATATTAGACATATGGCTTTCTCTAGTCGCGGAGAAACGGCACTACATGCTAAAGTTAACGGGGACGTTGTACGCTGAAAAGTGCTCGGGATGGCACGAGCCGTAATTGAATTTATCTCAATTTGCATGCGAAAAAATTGTCGCAGGTACTTAAATTACTTGGCGGGAGCGTGAAAAAGAGGCGGAAGACGAGAGGACTCACTAGTTATGGTTCGGTTTCGTCGTTGCCGACATCCTCCGTGTCATCGAGGCCTGTCACGAGGCATCATGATAAACGTAGATCGCACGTGATTGACGACAGGATGAAGAAAGCCAAAGACATTAAGGTGAATTAAGTTTGCCCGTGTATACATATTTGACGTTAATTTCTATTATTGATTTTTTCACATAATGCTCTTACTTGAAGTCTTGACAGAGATTAAATATTCGGAGCGTATTAAGCGTCCTGTTAATATCGTTAAATGAGTGTCTTGTAGCAAAAGAAAATCATTAGTCTGTAAAATAGTTATATTATAATAAAATTCCTTCTGAACGTATTTTTGATTGGTTAGAGCATCAACAAGCGTTTTCAGCGACTGGAGTCGCACGTGGTGACATTGGCAAGATCAGTAGCCCACCTGAGTTCAGAGATGAGGACCCAGCATCTGATGATTCAGGTGAGAGAACCCGTTAACACCAGTTTCAGGTACGAAACGAGCTAGAATTTCCACGAACCTACTACTATCAGGTTTTCGCAGGAAATGGAGAGCATAAAGTGCGAGATCGCAGCCCTCAGGACGCAAACGAGCATGGCGATGGTGAGGTCACAGTCGCAACCACTGATCAAGGATTCGGAACTGCCGGCACTTTCGAACCCTTCGAGGGTGAAGAAACTGACCAAGTTCTTCGGCACGGAGCCACCTCTCATCAGGCTGTTCCTGAGGGAACTTGGGTATGAGGTACGTGCTCTCGTTTGCTACGTCATTCGCGGTTTTGCGAGGGTAAGCGACGGACAGAATCCTTCATCAATCTGAAATCGCTTTTCTTAGACGGAAATATCGACGCATTTTTCTGAATGATAAATCTTTTCGCGGAAGAAACCCCGCACTATTCTTCGATCGAAATTTTGGTCTTTAATGACAATTACAATTTTAGAAATACGCGATCGCTTTCGAGAAAGAGAAAGTCGGGATGGTGGAGTTGCCTTATCTGAGCGAGGAGAGACTTCAGAAGATGGGGGTCCCCCTGGGTCCAAGGCTGAGGATCCTCCAGGAAGCAAGGATCTCAGTGTGCAAGGATCCGATTTACGTAGTATAAATTCTCAGGACGGCACAAAAACGTTCCGCGACGCAAGCAGAGCGAATCGCGGAGAAAACGCGGATAAAGAGAAAAATGAATGAAGACCTAGCGAGGAGTATTCGTTTTGTGCCGCCGTCCCGACGAACGCATTAGGACGTTTCTCGAGGAATTTCTCGTAAACGAACCCCCCGAGCTCGAAAACGGTCCGTTTGAGCGACCGCTCTTTTCCCCGTTTCAATCAATAGCTGTTTGAAAGCTACGCTCGCCGAAACGCTGAAATCGTCTCGCCGTGTCTTCGGGTCGACAGATTTGTTCTGTCGTGGGCGTTCACCGCTGCACATTAATTCCAAGAGAAAAAGATCCGGCAATGTAGCCGTTATAGCCAATGTAAAATGGTAACGCAATTAACAAAAGATCGCTTTTGTCCGATAAGTTAAAATTGTGAAGAAGAATTTTTCAGCATATATATTTGCGCATTTAAATAAAAACTTGATATAGAAAATGCCGTCAGCACAAAAAAAGAATGGAAATATCGGTTTCTCAAAGAAATTTTCCAAAAATGCGCTACATATTGATTCGTTTCAGCTAATTTTGAACGTATTTGTTTCGGATATATTTATATGACCCAGATATCGCAATCATTCCTGGAATATTTCGCATTTTCTCATTATCGTAAATCGATAATGCGTTTCTTCGAATATCGCAAAATAATTGGCTTACGATGGTAGCTAAAGCATACGCTTGGGATTAAAATAGAGACTTAAAAAACATTGACATTATGAACTTTAGTTGTAAACTTAGCGCTATTTTATAGACGTTTCTGTTGCATTAAAAAGATGAGGATGAATAAGCACAAACAAAAAGTAAAAGCTCGAATATATATAATTATAATATATAGACGAAGTGAATTGCAAATTCAACAGTTTACTACAAGGGGGCCAATCAAAATGTAAATACGATACTACTGATACTATCGGTAGCGCTGGGAGACCTACATCGTTCTTGTATTATACAAGAAGAGAAGAGTACGGACACAAAGACGATCCGCGAGGATCTTGACTACTCTCTCGTATCGTTAAATAATGAGATTATACTGTAGAGATTATGTAGATTTAGATTATTCGTGCGGGTTGGAAGCCGATGTTACGGCTTTACCGTATGCGGTAATTCGTGGCGCAGATAAAATCGACAATTAGACTCGAGGAGAGTCGGGCACATTGGGAACAATGAATCTCACACAAGTATGTTTGCCAAAGAGACGTACGGACATCGTCGAAGTGGTATGACCGAGATTTTTCCATTATACGCATTCCAATAAATCGCAATATCTTTTTTTTTTCGGTAACGCCGCGCGTATATCAATACCTTCGATTATTGCATTGCAAAAGCCGATATCTAATTCTGTGGGAGGTAACGCGATCTTCCGCCTGGAATATCGTATATAAATGTAATTTGTAAAAGAGCGAGAATTCTGTTCCCTATTAACACTATTAGATATTGTGTTTTAATAATCCCGCGTTTCCTTGAAGATAGATTCCGATAATATGAAATAATATAAAATGATTTGTTTTTCAGTATATTGTTGCCCGCTTTATATATTTTCACTATCCGAAATTTCGGTCAGCATGGCAGCATGCACCGCGTTATGTCGATACCAAAGAATCGATACCTGTTCCCTTGTCGCGACGACGACAACGACAACGATAATCGCTGCTTGTGAGCGCGGGTCACAGGGACGAGAAGACACGCCACTTTGATACTCGAGTAAAAGAACTCTGTACTCCCATTCGAAAATACGTAGACCGTAGACGTTATTAATCGATAATATGTATTTTTAATGCATTGTTTATGAATCTGCGATTGAACTTCCAGCAATTAGCTCTGATTAATATATTAAGAATGGCAGGCAAATTAAGCTTCTAGCTGGTGCTACGTATCTCTATTTTAATTTTTTCCTCTGGCGACACATTAAGAATTGTACAGTTAATTAAATTAGTTCTCTGCAAATGTTTCTATTATAATATTATTATTGTATTATTAATAATATTATATTCATTTCAATACTTGTATTATTATTAATATAATAATAATTATAATTATTATTATAATTATAATTATAATTATTATTATATCACATGTTTTGTTAAAATTTTGTATTTAATAAATGATATTATTGCAGGTAACACTCTTCCAGGATTTACTTAATACCGATAAATTTTCATTGGGTGCACGATGTTAAGCGGCTTGCAAAGCCGGCTTTAACAATATAACAACTGGGAACATCAGAATTGGCGGGACGTTTGCCCACAGCATTGTTCCTCGTTTCACTTACAATTAGAATCGAGATACTTGTTGCCAGGAACTTCGAAACATTAATAGTTTCCGAATTACGATTAAAAATTAAGATATTTACAATACTATAAATACATACGTATATACATTGTATGTTATATAGTATATTGTGACTATTAGAATTCTTTATCGGTGTAGCAAATTCTTCGTGACCGATCGTCACTCACGGTGTCAGCGAAAATTCGTGGTTTACACGATGTGTTTCCTAAACTTTCTGTCGCGGCCGGTTCCTTCGTGAATCAACCGTCTCCAATTGAATAATTGCGCATTAACTGTTACAACGTATGCCGTACGGGTCGGGCCAAGTGATCTGTTATTATGGCCCCTGACCTCGGGCCGCGCCGCGACAAGTCGCGCCGGTAATCGGCTCTCCGGACAATAATTATTTCGCTCACGGCTATCCTCGATCGATTGTAACGAGGACCGGAAGTGCAGCGACGATTTTAATTATCGAGAACCGTACGCGCGTCTTACGATTGCCGCGCTAATCGTCGCGTTAATCCCTCAATTTCTAATTGAGCGGAAAGACCACAACGAGCAGATCCGCGAAAGTGGGAGGACAATGCGTGGGAGGACAATTTCATTGAAATTTCAGAGATACCATACGTTGCGTAATACTCTCACGTTAATTAATGAGATTTTTCTTAGTCAAGCATTACGGGTAAGCGGACAGATTGTACAATTGGCTGTTGACTTTTGTGTCGATGTTTCGACCGGATTAATTCCTTCAAGTCGGATAATCAATTTAAACAATTGTTATGTTTGAAGTATTTAAGGCAAATTGTTGCAACATTAATTTCAATTGAGGCAGACTAAATTCGAAGGAGTCAAACGATATTTTTGATTACGTAAAGCGTTTTTCGTTAGAAATGACTGTTTAAAAGAAATTATTTTAATATATTTAGTTATTTAATTATCAATGTAAGATACTAATGGGTACTAATACTAATATTAACGATATGTTAAATTAAGAAGGTTAATTAAAACTGTTTTTTAATCTGCAAATAAACAAAATATTAAGATAGAGCTTTGGTGACTTTCGAAATTGATACTTCAATCAGTATTGCGACAATCAATGAAATATTTAGTAGTACATCAAGTTTGCAGCCAGGCAATAAATAAAATTAAAAAATCAATCCCACGTCTTGGCGCCGCTAATCTAATCTAACTCGGTCGGTCGCCCAGCTGCTTGTGTACCCTAGTTCGACCCTGTACAAGCCACGAATATAATTATGGTAGGCGCCGCGGGTGGATGTAACGGTATGAAGATAAATGAAACTGATACGGTTGATATCTCGTCCAGGCAAACAAATTTATAAACACGAGAAAAGATTGAAGGGATAGCTTGTGTAATAGACGTCGAACCAATAAGAATCGCTTGATCGGCGAATTTAATTGACGTTCGGATGGAAAATAATGCTTCCAATTATGTGCGGCGAATGACCCACATTTCTTCTTTCTTTCGTTGTGGATAAAAGGATAAAAGCGATTGAGTCTAAAACGGTCTAAAGGGGCGGCGAGTCAGATGAGCTCGCACGTCGTCGCTTGGCGCGTATTGTAAATTTCGACAGAATCGACGGCGAGACCGTCTTCCGGCCACTTTTATCAGGAAATGCACAATTTAACAATTGTGGCCAATTATTTTTCTAGCGGTCTCGTCTTTGATTGGACATCTGAGACCGCGCCACCGTTGTGAACTTTGCGACGCTCGGTGTGTCACATCACCGTGTGTGACTGAACAAACGATCGTGTATTGTGTCGAACTCTTATGTCTGTCCAAGGATGGTTTGCATACAGACCGAATGATCCGTGGCATTAATCCTTCTACTAACTCCACAACTTATTACTGATTATTACTGATGGACGAAATGAATGTAAACTCAACCATTTCGTCTTACAATACATAAATGTATTTCGATTATAAGATACACGCATCAGAGAGAAAAATTATAATATATAATTAAAATGAAATAGAAGTGTATAGTTGACAGAACTCGTTTTTCAATCTATGTAAAACATTTTATTAATATATAAATACAGTAAATATCATTTGACGCACATTTCGGAAACATCTAACACTTCGATAAATGAATGATGTATTTCTAGCGACTTCTTTTAAGCAGAAAGATCGCTAAAGTATATTAATTTAATTTTTTGTAGCATGCCATAAAGCCATTTAATCGGTTCTCGCAGATTGGAGATGGTTAAATTAATATCCGTGCGATCAATTTATGTCTAAAAACATATGAACTTCACTGATGACATTTCGAATATGGGCACATTCCGCTTGAAACATTTAGAAAGTGTGTGACACCTAGTCGATATAAAAGTGGATTTACTTTTAAATGCGCAGGATAAAGATACTATCCCATTTCTTTCGTGCGGTATTCATCTATTTTAACGGCTTCATTTCGATTGCAAACGGCGTTACCTCGTGGCGATATTATATTCGCGATTAAATTTTATTATTTGCGACTAAAATAATTACAGTGTATTATGAGAATTATAAATCTTCCTTTCTTTAGTATTTTTTATATTGACAAGTTGCATTGTAATATATTAATTGTTATTGTTAAAAAATAATGCTAGATATTCTATTTCACACTTCGAGACCGCGCACTTTTTAAATATTAAATATATTTAAACATAAATGATTTCATGTACATTATGCAAATCCGAACTCAGTCTTAAACTAGTTGAGGAAATTAAAACATCGAACAAAATCAAACGGAATTTTTAACACAACTTCTACAAAATGTTCCCGCAAACTAGTTAAGAATCGTTGTTTGATTATAGTAATATATTTTTATAAAGTCGTTAAATTGCTGTCTAATAAATATTTTTAGTGTTCGACATAGTATAAAGACGGGTGACAATGGGAGACGGTATGACTGATATGAATATATTGTTTATTTCATTAAATTATTTCATTAAATTGATTGACGAATTATAATCATTGCGAAAGATGATACATTGCAGATTTAAGAACAACGATTTCACTTCACCAATTTAATTTGAAACATAAAACAGCACATTTGCTCTTGTTCATTCCACAGCTTCCATTTGAGATCATACGTTCGCTGCAATAAAAGAAAAGAGAAAGTAGTTTTTTTAATAATATTTTAAGATCAACTTGTGCTTGTTTGATATCAGAAGAGGTGTCTACAAATCTCTTTTCCACATCTTGAATTATGTTTCATGTTTTAAACTTCATGTCTCTTACATCGCCTTAGCATCTCAATATTTGATTTCTAGATTTCAACGTAGATAGTTACGCGATGTCAACAAGCTCGCGGAAAAGTTTACAAAAGGATCGAAACGGAGATCGAAGCGTCACTTACCGCGGGGAATTTCTTAGAGATAGGCAATAGCACTGAGTATGATTGCCTCTGACCGACAGAGGCTGGGCAAGTTGTGGATAAGCAGGCATCGACAGGCATACCCAAGAATGGCAAATCCACGATCTCAGAAGCCCAGTATGCCCTGCTTTGTAATGAGCCAGTGAACTCTGAAATAAAATATTATTAATACGTGTTGTGTATTGCTTGAATTCTAAGATTGGTATATTTAAAAAAAAAATGAAAAAAATTTTTCTGTTTAAAGACTTAAGTAAGTATAATCCAAAAACGTTTCTCAAACAATATAAATTAAATTATATAATTTATATAAATTATATAATTATATATAGGTAACTTTTCAATTTTTACAACGTTGTTTGCTTTGTTATTTTGAAACATTCACTTTTATTAACACAGAGCATTAGGATTATTGTATTTAATGTTTCTCACTGGTAGTATCATTCTGCTTTTGCTAAAAATACATTAATATTTATAATGTTCTCATTATTCTATTTTCCAACTTCTTATATAAAATAAAAAAATATATCAAATTAAATACAAAGAAATTTCAAAATCCATTGTTTTACTGTATATCTTGATGTATATGCTTCTGTAATCTTTTGATAATGCATGTGTGTATAAGTTAGACATATATGCATATAATACTTTGAGCATACATACGAGGGGTATACTCGAAACTTATGCTCGCATTGCGACCCTTCTTTAAAGAACAAGGCTTTCTTTCTTCGGCTTCTCTGCATGGATCAACATGTACTTCATGTATGGTGCATTGTTCTTCCGCTGAAACATAAATAACAAGATTTCATATAGAATTACTTATATATTTAAAGCTGTATAAAAAATTTTTTATCTTATGAGAAAGAAAGAAAAACAGAGAGAGAGAGAGAGAGAGGGGGGGAGAGAGAGAAAAGAATTAAAAATCTAACAAATCAATTAAAAATGTTATTATCTATAGTTAGTTTTTTGTTTAGTTGTTTGTTCGACAATTAATTATAATAAAACAATATGTAGTAAATCTTTTTTAAATTTGCTATTTTATTCTCGCGTTTCTCGGTCATGTTACTTGGTATTTTTTCCCGTTATCTCTTAACGTTGTTGCTTATTTGTATATACGCTATCTTCCATTTACGCAAGTTAATCAATTAAAAGTAAACTGTTTATAAAATAGTAATCTATATAATGCTGTGTAAGAAGAAATTTTACTTGCGCAACACTTGTTACGAGTTAAACAACCGATGTCATGTTTACTTTTGAATTATTATTTGCTTAATCTGCAAAAGCCTCGTTTTTCTTCCGTACAAGGAGTAATGAGATAAGCGTGCATAAACTTCAGCAAAGAAGGGAGAAAGAGATACGTGTTCAACGATGCGGCGCGTATCATTGACGTTGTAATCTCGTCAAACAGATGCAAATAAATTCGATATTACAAAGTTTCTGCCTAAAGGATATTGATTATGTACTTATATAGATAATGTTTGGCTCATTCTTCATGAATAATGCAACTGTGAATTATAATGTGCAAGTTGCGTTGGGAAAACTCTTTCGGATACCTCCATAAACATAAAAAATTTTTTAAACGTAAAATATCTCGTGCAACATATCTCTTCGATGTCAAAGTTTCACTGCTTCATTGATTCAACATATTCCCTCTCCGGGAGATATTTTATTCAAAAAGTTTATCCGCTCTTTTCCATGAAAAGTAAATTCACCTTAATGCCGTCTGTAATAATTATCATTTATTTTATTAAAAAACATTGATGCACAATGTTTAGCTTCCCCGGAAAAAAAGTGCATATACCTAATTATATCTGACAATGAGTACATCTAACTCAGAAATAAGCAGATATGAATTTTGTCCCTAGCCAATCATATACAACGTAAATGTGAGTTAGATATCGTTTGATATCTAATTCGAAATATTCAAAAGATTTATTTTAATACTTAATAAATGTTTAACAGTATATGTATATACAATATGATCATATCATTATATACATATATGATTATATATGATCTATTCAATCTAATTGTAAGTCTATAAAAGTGTCTATGAAATATTTTAATAAATATTAAAGTTTTCAAATAAATCTTTTTAATATTTTTTTGTACATATTGTGCGATATCAAACGATATTTTACTCACGTTTAGGTTGAATATGATTGGCTAGAGACCAAATTCATATCTGGTTATATTTGAGTTAAATATACTCACAATCAATGCTTAAAATTAAGTTTTTACAAAATTAAGAATTACCATATTGTTGCATTTTTTGTATAGGCGCGGCAATGTAAAATATAAATATAAAAATCTAAAAATTTGTGAAACGCATTATTAAATATCTTACGGAAAGAAAGGGTTTATAATAGGTTGTAAAGAATATTCTATAGAAGATTCATAATACACATGACAATTGAGAAAGAAAGACGGAGACGATGCTATTTCAGTCTAGTAGTCTGTTCTTTGTTTGCATAGAAAGAAGCATTATTGCCTCAATCGCAGTCTTTCTTCCTCCCTAGCCATAGTTTATGGGTCATTTATGGTTAAAAATAGCTACGCTAATTGCATATTTAACACGCATTAATAAAAGAAAATACAAAATGGCCTAAAAATCCAAATGCTATGATAAGCGATTTATTACTATTATTCCAAATTTCGATAAACTTAAAAGATTTCGTGTATCGTCAAAAACTTTGCTATAAAATATTGATATAAAAATCACGTGATTTTAGATTTAATGAAATTCACTGTCCGATATTTCAATATTCAAGTATTGATCATCTAAAGACATCTTGAATTTAATATTGTTTTGTTATCAACTCGTAACACATTTTAAGATAATAAAGGATGAATGCCAATAATAAACTTTTTAGTGTTCGTGACTAAAGTTTTTCTTAGTAAAATAAAAAGTTTAGACTATCTTAATAAAATTTGATACGATCGATACACATTTATCGAGATCAATAAGCAGTACGTTTTACGCTGCGTCAGACTCGCAAATAACTTCATCTAAAATTTACGTATACGACAGCTGTATCGAAGTTGGAAATAAAAATGTACAAGTATTAGAAATAAAAAAAAAGTACAAGTCGTCGCTTAGCCAATCCAGTTTCAGATACGTCCGACGTTATTTACGCGCATCGCCGAGACATCGCAACGATGTTAAACGAGAGTTCGTCGCTCCGAGAATAATAAAAGCACGCTATTAATCGTATCTACCGAACGACACGATTTATCCCGATTTTGTTTTCCAACTTCCGTCGATTACGGCGTCGAGCAGGGGTCGTTGGCGACGTCATGAGCGGGAAACGTGCTGTCACTTTCGTCGCTATTACTAGATCGCTCCTAGATCTCTTTCGAGATAATGTTGTTTGCGCCGTTTAATTAAGCAGATCGCGATCGTTAATTAAAACGGAGAAGGATACTTACTGGAGGGTGGACACGGCGTCCACTGCACGAGTTCCGCGTAGACCGCGGACAGGGCCAGGATCAGGACAACGGTGGCGAGAGTGACGTTTCGGTTCATCTTCAATGGACGGTGGTTCGTAGCCAAGTGAAAGAAGGTCGACGTGAGGGTCGGTCGACACATAACGCAGATAACGGAGCGGAGAATCTGTGGGAGGGTGGTGGGGCCACAGGTCAATTGAGATAGCGTCTTGATCGTGATGGAACCTATGCGCGCGGCGGCTGTGTCTCCTTCTCCGAGGAATCGCGTCGCAGAGTTCCGTTTTACGTTTCCGATGACTAAACAGCGAGAAATTTTCAGATAACCCTTGGTATCCCGGATACACGAGGAATATATTTATTCATGTTATTCTCTGTTAACGATAGTTGAATTGCCTCATCTGGACGGCACATTTATCCGACTTTACTTCGAAATATCATTTGTTAATGCGTTGAAGTAAACGTAATAACGACAGTTTAATTTATTAACAATTACCATAATCGTGTTTAAATCATTTTTACACTTGTTGGCCAAAGAATAAAAAAATAATCTGCGATTAATGTTAAATGTATAATGCACGAGACTAAAAGAAGAGCCAGCTGTGTGTGCGCAGGACAATCCGGAGTGTTAAGCAATAAAAATTGACAATATAAAAATTAGATATTCACAATTTTATTAATATCAACCTTACGTAAATATCGTGCGTAAGCATGTACAAAGAAAAAAATCTAAAAAAAAAAGATCGCTGCGGACAGGATTCGAACCTGTGCGGGCAAAGCCCATTGGATTTCGAGTCCAACTCCTTAACCACTCGGACACCGCAGCTGTTGGTATCACGACTATGTACAATCGTAGATGAACGATACGCGCCATCCCCGCAAATAATATTAAGTTAACTAGAGAGAGATGCTGCGACGATATTACATATAAAAAATGTGGTTGCTTAATAATAACATAAGGCAAATCAATAATAACTTATTTTAAATAAATTAGCTGAACAAAAGACAAATACGTAAGGTTGTGAGATTTAAATAAACAGATGAAATTGTTAATTTCAATAAAGCTGTTGTTATAAAATACAAGTGCAAATAATATTGCATAACAATAAAATAAAAGGTAAATGTTTAACTCTCCTCTACTTTAACACTTCCATCGTCAATTTTGATAAAAATACACGCATTCGATTGTGCTTAGCATAAAAATAAAGATTTGAGAAAAGAAAGTATCTGCCCCGTGAAGTAAGGGGCATATTAAAGTTGATCACTTTAATATGTAATCTGTCATACCGACGGAATTGGTATGCATATAGTGATGCAAACAGTACGCAAATTTAAATTTGAAAATTACATACATATAAATAATATATTTCATATATGCATATCCCACATAGCACGTAATATTGCAGCAACATTACAGCAATATGGTGGAAGTATTACATACTACATTAAAATATTGCAGAAATATTACCGATACACTTTTATAAATAACATTGAAATATTATAATTACATTACTGCAATATATCACATGCAAAATAGCAAAGTGACTTGTCAAACGTCTGATTTAATTATTGTCAAACGTTTGCCCGCTTTTACGCCCACTTTTACTCTTGGAACTATTTTGCTATGCATCTTAATCTGACAGTGCCGATAAAGTCATCACTTTGTGCGTGTCCATGCTACGCCAATTTTTCAGGATTGTGCTGTGAAATTCAAAATTACATTAACATTAAGTATCTGCATGATATTTACATTAACATTTCTCATGTAGACAATGTAAATTTTATAAATTAGATGTCAGAATGGATAGCATTGACATGCACCAAGTGAAAATTTTATCGGCAGAGTCCGAAAATACGTAATGAAATAGTTCGAAAAGTAAAAGTGGGCGTAAGAGCGCGCAAAACAGTCTCCCGAGACGGTGTCAAGTGAAACGTCGGTCGCTCTCAGGTTTCTCTCTGTCACAACGCATGCACTATGGCTTCTGGCTTGGCTCCTGTATTTTTATATGCTTTTATCTTACATGCCACATTTGGAACAACAAGGCGCACATCCGAAAGGGTTTGAGAGAAAATGGCCGATACCGCCCATTGACGGGCGTCGTCATTCAATGACCGCCCAATGAGGCCTGTAGCCTTGTTTTTAAATGATGTTCTTCTCTATATGACAGTAATTTCATGACCACACCGGCCACAGACTTCTATATACTACTAGACTGTCATCTGAAGTGGCCACGCCGGCGTTTTACTTGATACCGTTTCAAGAGACTGTTTTGCGCGCTCTTACGCCCATTTTAACATTTGGAACTATTTCATTACGCATTTTCTAACTCTGTCGATAAAATTTCCACTATATCAAGTATCAAGTAAAACGACGGCGTGACCGCTCTCAGGTTTCTCTCTGCTGCCACCTTCGAACAGAAAAGTGAGGCAAGAGTTCCGCCACATCTTGTTAGTGTAAAGCGGGGAGCGCACACTTTTGCATAAGTGCATAAGCAACTATGCAATTTTGTGTGCGATGGCCCTAAGAGGCGTGCATCATAGCGGATTAAAGCGGAAGTGCAAGAACGTTGAAAAGCTCACATGTTTTATGTGCATATAAACATAAATTTTACATAAATGTATTATTACATTATTACTAAGTACGAAATAAGCATTATTATTAATTTTAGCATTATTATTTTCTTACAGATTTCAAGTTAAATATATATTAGCGATACACGACTAATTGGAGCGTTTGAATTTCGCGGCCGCGTGCCAGGAGAACTTCTTATTAGCTCACAGCACGTACGTCACTGTCACGTGACAGCGCTGCGCGCAACGTCACGCCTTCGTATTTACGTCGTGCGCGACACCACGATGGTCGTCGCACGTTCATGGCCGTAAGCCTGAAAATATTTTCGCGGATGACGTTCTCCCGCACGGCCGAGATCGGCGGAGAGTCGTTACGTTCGCGATTGTTATTGCGCGCCTGACGTACGCGTGCGGCTGCAGCGTCATCCGCGGCTGTTACCGCCGGCCGGACTGTGCAATGGAGAGCATATTCCACGAGAAGGTAAATAACGGCGGACCCCGTCGCGACCCGATCCTCGGCTACGACGGGGATCCCCGTTTGCGCTCGCGTTCCTCTACTCTCGTGCGATGTGCGCTTTTTCATTCCTCTGTCGCAGCAAGAGGGATACCTGTGCGCCCAGCACTGCCTGAACGCGCTCCTGCAAGGCCCGTACTTCAACGCTGTCGACCTGGCGAACTTCGGCCACCAGATGGACGAGGAGGAGAGGATCCGGATGGCCGAGTCGGGCGTCGACAGCGAGGACTACAAGCTGTTCCTCGAGGTAAACACGACGTGTCGGGGCCCCAAGTATAGTCGCGATTGGCGGCCGCTCGACGGCGTGGACGCGTCGGCCACTGCAAAGGAGACCGTCGGTTTCAAGTCCCTCCGTTCTTCCTCCCCCCTCCCCCCCCCCCTCGAAATTTCCCTCTAAATAGGGAGCTTTCCAGCAAGCGGCACGAGTCGACACAAATGTCGTTCTGTCTTTATTATTCATTGAACGCGAAGAAAGCCGGAACGACATTTGTGTCGACTTGTGTCGCTTGCTGGAAAGCTCCCATTGACGCCTGACCTTGTTATCTTACAACTGGCCCGAGTGCCGAGAGCGAGACACCTGTTTGTAACAACGGCAAATTGTGCTTCTTCTGTTTAGCAACCATCGGGAAACATGGACGACAGCGGATACTTTTCAGTTCAAGTTATTAGCAGTGCTCTGAAAGTTTGGGGTTTAGAACTGATTCCATATAACAGCACGGAACCGACAGCTTTACTGGCACAGAACGATCCCTCGTAGGTTATCGATCATTTCTCGCTCGCGCTCCGTTTATTCATGCGTTGCGCCTCGAGACACTCTCTTGTTCCACTGCACTCGCAGAAGGGCACTCTTTCTCCAAAAGATTTCACTGTTCTTAGAGCAACACGCACACGCACATGCGATTTAACACGTTAAGTCGAGTAACATTTAGATTAAAGTACTCACACATTTATTTTGATACGTTTACATCGAGCGTACAATTATCTTTCAAAGACGTTAAACGAGTAATTTTCGCTTATAATAATTTTATGAGATAATTCGTGAAGTGGCGATGTGATTTTCAGGCGGATGAGAGCGTATATTTGTAATTATAAGGGACATTGGTTTACAATAAGAAAACTCGGGAGCCAGTGGTTTAATTTAAATTCAATGCTTAGCGGACCCCAGCTTATATCAGACACGTACCTCACGATGTATCTAGCTCAATTGTTACAAGAAGGTAAGCGCATGGCGTGACAAATGAGAAACGATGTGCGCGGTAATGAGATGCGTCCGTCTTTCTTGCAGGTTATTCTATTTTTATCGTTATCGGCACCCTTCCGCAGTGTCCCGCCGAGGATGTTCTTCTGAAAAATCCCATAGTTGCGACGAAAGGCAATACAAGCTCGGAGTCGAAACAACCCACCACGCCCAAGGGCCAGCGCTTGGGCACCAAGCTGGAAGACGAGATCCTGAAGGCCGCGCTCGCGATGGGCGAGGTGAAGGTCCCGCGATCCTCGAGCACAGCCAGAAGCGCGTCCGCGCTCTCGCACAAGCCTGAACTGTCCGCGGATGAACGACGCGAGAGGATAATCCCTATAAGAATCGAGGGCAGGGAGGATAAGAGCGACGAGGAGGAGGACGAAAACGTACAATTGGCCAGGGCGCTGCAGATGAGCCTGCAGAATGACGAGGACGACGTGGACAAGACGCTCAAGTTGCGACTGGACCTCCACACCGACGACAACGCGGCGGCGCATTTAGCGGAGACGTCGGCGAGCGACGCGGACGAGGACGACGAGCTGAGACGAGCCCTGCAGCTGAGTCTCGAGTGTGTCACCGCCCCGCCTACGCCAGATCCCGAAGATCTACGCTGGCGCCGGTTGAATCACTTCGGCATCTACTCGCGAACGTCCAACAGTGAAGCTCCCGCGAAGCTGAACACTTAACAATAAACGTTCAACACTGCACAAATTATCCATTTACTAAACTGACCGTTGTATTGTAAATTATACGATCGAGTAGCTGAGCTCGAGGTGGTACGTCACTTTGTATACTAATAAGATAAGAGAGACGTGTGTCAAAGGGGATTCAAGTGCATTTCCGGTTTTACCGAGATCGAGCTCTCGTCGACGTCTCGTTTCTCCCTCTCAACTTTGTTATACTAATCGTTCACGGAATAAACACTTGTTTGAGCAAGAAATCTGCCGTTGCTAACCAATTCTGATCTGAATGTGTATATACATATGTGTGCGTATATGTGTGACAGTTTATATATGCATAATATATTCAAAATATAAAATATATTTACGAAGAAAAGAACGATCGATTTAATATAAAGAATGCAGCAATATCTCTTGTAAAATATACAAATTTCAAAAGATTAAGGCGCTTCTTTTCGATCGGTTTAGAGTAACCAGACTCCCGTCAATTTAATCGACGATTGTCGAGCAATGCTATCTCGCTGCGAGGAATTATCCATTTTTTATTGATACGTAAAGAAGATTAAATTCGGAACGACGGAGTGTATGACCGTAAATTTTGCATTGTTTCAATTAATTGCCGATTAAACTGACGCGAGTTCGATCGCCCTAAAAGCATTGTATGTACATAAGAAAATTCGTTCTGTAGCTACGCATAAGAGGGCAGATATTAGGAACAGGATAAAATATTAAGTGTTTGAACCCGGCCGCTTTCGCGAGTAGATCAAAATGATTCAGATTAAAATGACCTTGTGCCTGTGATTAGTCAAAGTTGAAATTTCATTGAATAAAATTTCAACGTGATGCTATAAAATTTCAGATTCGACCAATCGTAGCACAAGGTCATTTTGATCTTCTCGCGTAAGCAGCCCTCGTAAGCTAGAACATCGATATTTTGGATTGACTGTATCGTGCTATACAGGGTGTCCCTGAATGGTCTGTGCAAACTTTGGGAATAAGTTCCAGGGACCTAAACAAGCAGAAATGTCCCATGAACATCCCTGGCGAAAGTGACAAGCTTTATAAAGCGTTGATAACTGTTAAATGAAGGTTTTCTAAAAGTTCATACGCTTTCAAACTTTATGAGAATGCTTACACAACGCCGCTGCGTTTTGAACGCTTTCAGAAAGCTTATAAAATACTGTGTATGACGTTTCATAAAAGTTCTACAACGCTAAGTTAAAAAATGCTGTGTACAAACGTCTTCTAAACGCCGCAGCGTTGCAATTTCCGCCCTACAAATTCTCTATTGACCGTTTCTAAACTCTCAACGCTTGCTTCTGGAGTTACGACGTTTCGAAGTTCCCTACAGTGGCTGGAGAAATTATCACGTCAAATCGCATAGGTGTTACAAAGTTCATGGGACATTTCTGCTTGTTTAGGTCCCTGGAACGTATTCCAAAAGTTTGTACAGACCGTTCAGTACACACCCTGTATTCCTACATTTATATCTCGCGTTTTATTCTTTTTATTGTGCGTTATATTTAAAATCTTCGGCCTGCGAATTTCCGACTGTTTCAAGTTGATTTCCAAACGTGGCATCCACGAGAAGACGTCGCGGCGTAAAATTTCTAGAATCTCCCACCGTCGATGTGTTTTTGTACCACGTGGTTCGGCCTGTTCTTTTTTTTACACGTGATTAGTCTATATTTTTTAAAAAGGATTCAGAATACGGGCCTTTGTTCTCGTTTGTGTCTCGAGAAACTGGAAATTAACGCTTGTACGTTTCGTGCACTTGAATATCTCGTGTCCGCAAGACGGTCGTTTAACTTTCGCAATTAGTCTTTTCTTCTTCTCGCCCTTCTGACACTCAATATCTTTTCATATTCCCTCAATTGCGCGCCTAACGAGGGCAGTCGAGATAAAAAAAACCGGCCGGCGACAGGTTCCCTCGCGAGAGAAGCGAACAGTCTAGAAAATCGTACGAGGAGCGCCAGGTCGAGAAGAGCACGCGGGTGATACGCGCGCGGCGCCAGTGGCGCCACTCGACGGGAATCGAGGCGAGGAAACGGGGCTCGTTTCCATCGCCGCGGCCGGCCGGCCGCGCGTGCGCGCGCGCACACAGGAAACTCGTG